GTCCTCGTCGTCTGTGCCCTCCGCTCCCCTCCCCTCGAACCTGTCGGCGATGGTTTCGAAGAGGCCGGAAAGGAGGAGGCCCTCGAGGTAGTAGTGGTTGAGGCTGTTGGGGGCGTTGAGCATCACAGTGAAGGACTCGAGTATGTTGCACTTGAGCTGATGGATACCTTGCTTGACCCCCCCCGACCGGATCTGAGAGGGAGGAGCAGGGGCAGGAAGAGAGGGAGGATGCGGAGACTGCGGCGGGTTGGCAACCGACTTGACCGAGTCTTGAGAAAGGCTGTTGAGGCTCGGGACGGATGGTCCAAACTCGAACTTGTCCATAATGAGATCGTTGAAGAAAAGGACGATACCATGGACAAGCTCGTTGGAGTTGTACGCTGAGTTGCAGAAGGCTTCTCGTAGGTTGACGACTTTGCTGTCAAACCTGAAGCACTGCCATACTTCTCCCTTGGCGTTCGCCGCGCGACAGAGGCGGAGGAAAATCTTTGAGGCCCGGAGGGAGGTCGTGATATCGTTCCCATTGACGTACTTGTAGATCCCCTGAAAAGTGTAGGATGAGAGGAGGAGGAGGAGAAGGGCAAAACAGAAGTGAAAAGAGAAGAAGCAGATAAGTTGAGGTAAGAAAAGTTTGGCATACATCAATCAATGAGTTGCTGAAATTTTCTTCAATCTCACTGTAAGGCAAACAGAAGGAATAAGTCAGTGGCAAGATTGGAAATTCACATTAGTAAAAATGTTACATGTTGTGTATGAAGACGGCTTCAAGCGCCTCTACGCTCTTCCTGCGGATGTTGACGCTTGCTACGTTCCAGTTCTACCAACAGTCTCAGCCTTGCTCCAGAGCTCTCGCGCATTCATGGTCAACCTGTAATAGCAGGTCGATGCCGTCGAGCTCGACGAACTGTCTGGCCGCCTGTACACTCTTGGACAGCAACTGCGGTCCATCAGCGCTCAGATAACGAAAATCGGCAGTGAGGAGGTAGAAATTAAGACGGGGAGGGAGGAGGAGGATGGAAGAGGAGGAGCAAGGGCATGACCCCGAAACACAAGGTGTTGAAGATTGCACTTTGACAACGAGGCCTCAAGTTGATAGACTTTAGGAGGAGATGAATTAAGAAGATGAGGAGCAGAGAAGGATCCAACACGAAGAGAAGAGGAAGGAGGAAGGAGGAAGGAGAGCAGAAGCAGTAACAGAAGGACGAGAGGAGGAGGACGAGGGGAGGACAAAAGTTGGTCCAGAGGAGGAGGGAGAGGGAGAAGACGAAAAGGAAGAGGAGCGGGTGTGGAAGAGGGAGAGGAGAACAGGAGGGAGAGGAGGAGAACGAGGAGGAGAGAGGGACGAGAAAGAGGAGGAGGAGAAGCAGGAGGAGGAGGAGGAGGAGGAGGAGGAGGAGGAGGAGCGAGATGGAATCTCTCGGGGCTGCTCTCTTGCTGCTCAGCCTCTCGAATTGGAACCTCCTCGGGGTCGTCGGGTGCTTCTTGTGGGAGCTGCCCGTCGGATTCTCCGACGTCGTGGCTTCATCCTGCTCCTCCTGTTGCCTCTGGCCTGCAACAGTGCGAACTTCCTTCAACGAACGCCCGTGCAGTGACGTTGCGTGCTTCGACTCTATGTTCTGCTTCAACAAGGCTGCAATGTCCAAGACACATTTCCTGCACAATCACTCGCTCATGATACCATCACTCCCTGGACGCAAGCGATCTCACCGGAAAGTGTCGAAGTCAAGTTCCATTGTCCCTTTGGTAGCTTCGCTGGAGCCGTGCCTGTCGGAGGGACTCAGGAGAGAAACGCAGAAAGCATGAGAGGGAAAACAACATTTGGAAGATGGAGAAGGCGTTTGTCTTCGTGATCTGGCCAAGTTTGCGATCGAACCGCTGAGTTTGTATGCCTATATCGACGTTCTGCGGGAGCCCGGTGAGAGAGAGGCTATGATGCGAGGGAAGAGCTTTACCTCCACTGATCCCATCACAAGAACTCCCAGACTTGTCAGGAGACTGAGAAACTCCTGGGTGTCGAGAGTGCTTGACCTTTTGCACAGTCAAACTTTGTAGGTGATGCAGACGTTGTGTTACCGGCTGCTTTCTGTCGCGTGAGCTTGACCGAGGGCGGCAAACTTCTCGAAGAGAACAAGAGCGTGCGATGTGAACTACAAGATGTTAGATGAGCTGTGATGGAAGACAAGACATCAAGACAAGACATGAAAAGAAAATATCAACTCATGACATGGTAAGAAGACATCAAGAAAAGACAAGTCACCTGATCAATCCATCGGTCAACTCTTGGGCGATAGATTGGGATCTCCCTATCTACCACCGCCTGTGCACCGTTGGGCCTGCACTTGATGAAGAAGTCGATCTTTTTGGCGTGTATGATGATATTCCCAAAGTCCTGCGTCGTTCCATATCGCACCTTCTTCTTCTCCGGCTCCTCTAGAGGCACCGAGAAGACATTGCTCGGACCGATCTCGTTCGCATCCACTATCTCATCTAGGGTCGTTTCGATGGTTGCGATGGCGTGATTTTTCCAAGTGAGCGTCTTTGAAGGCTTCCAGGCGTACTCGTCGTCGACGATGATGAACCGAACTTTCTGCTCCTCCACACCCCGGTACGTCCTCGCACGATGAAAGTTGACCACGAACTTCCTCTCGAAGTGCGGGTTGGAGTTGTTCTCCACACGTTCTGTCCTGAAGACTTCGTTCCACTCGTCGTCGAGCGCGTCAGTCCCCTTTCTCAGCACGATGCACATTGGGTCGCATTCGATCGACTTGTTGCTACGTTGCAGGCGGGCGCAAGTGATTTGGAAGAGATAAGGCTGCGACGGGATGGAGTCGTATCTGGCACTCTTCATACCAGCTCGCTGGAAACGAATCTCTAGAGGAGTCTTGGGCCTGATGTCGTACTTGCCCCTCATCGCCTCATGCACGCGCGAGTCGTTCATCCATATCCTCATCCCATTCCTGGTGTCCAGCTGGTCCATGACCAGCGGAACATCATGGTGAGCTCGCTGGTAGTAGGTCTCATGGAAGGGGAGAGTGCTCAGGTTTTGTTCCTCCCCTTCCTCCTCTTCTTCTTCCTCCTGTGTCTTGTTCTCCGATATGCTGCTCAGGTTGAGCGGAGGGAGGATGGTCGTCATTTCAATATTGTGCTGGACTTCTCTAGACCATTTTTCTCCTTCCTGTGAGCAACAACGTTAGCTGACAGTGGTAACATCTCCGATTATGAACTGAAAGCTCGTGATATTTGTGCTGGTCCATGAACTACCTTGTTTACTCCTTTTTCTCTTGCACCCTTCCGCATGCCGTATTCCTTCTCTTTTTCACGCTTCCTCCTCCTCTCCTCCTCTCCTCCTCTCCTCCCCTCCTCCTCTCCTCCTCTCCTCCTCTCCTCCTCTTCCCCTCTTCTCCTCCTCTCCCCCTCCTCTCTTCCTCCTGTCCTCTCTTCCTCAGCTGCGAGGAGGCTCCAGCATGGCTTCACCTTCCGTTGACTCGTTGAAAACGTTGACCGGTAAGGCAGCGATATGGAATATGTGGCAATACCTATCCCCTTCTTGCTGCCCCGAGCTTCCCACCCCACCCTGGTCTTTTTGTACATACGAAAGGTGGCCCCACAACCCCCCACCCCCGGGGTCAAGGAGCAATGTGAAAAGCTTCTGAGAAAAGCAGTCAATAAAGGAGAAAGAAAAGATGGTAGCGAATTGCGGTGCGACGAATTTCAAGCAGGATGAGCAGAGGGTTGTTGTGCCTGACAAGAATGGGTACTTGATTCATTCCGTGCTGTTTGAAAGGATTGAGAGTGTGCGCTTCGAATGCCGCGGGGAAGGACACTGGAGAGGAGAGCATTCAAAGCAAACTGAGACGTTTCTGTGTCCAGGACAATCGCCGGAATGACTCAGGTGTGTATCTCGCAAAGAAGTGCTGCCAGATGGGGGAATCCACCAGATCAAGAGTGTGCAGTACCCAGTCCGCAGGGGTTGAACACTCAAATGATCGAAAGATCTTGGCGAACAGGGCAACGTCCACGTCCTCGAAGTATATTATTATTATTATTTGAGTTTATTAGACTCTTAGTCAAGAGTTTCATAGCTAAGAACTATTGCTCTTCGCTCATCTCTCGCCTAATGATCCGTCCCATACACCTTATCATATCTCACTTTTCGCAGTATTCATTTTACACAAAACTGCCGTGTGGATGTTATGCCGTCGGATATGCTGCCCGTCAAGTACACCATGTTACTGCACAGGGGCTGAATTTTTGCACTGACTGTATACGTATTGCTGCATGATAACAGGAAAAACCTTCTGCAGGACGCGTTTCGCAAATGCTTCGAACTTGCTTTTCATCTTCTCAACTTTTTGCCACAAGCGAACGCTTATATCAGTGGGTCCCACCACCGACGTGTACATCATCCAGCACTTTGTCTTGAGTGGCCCATCATCACCGTTGAGGAAAGCTTGGAAAGCATCGGTGAAGATGACTTCTGGGGCAGTGAGAACCGTCTCGGAAGGGGTTCCAGCGCTGGCGGCCATAAGGAAGACCGAGTGGTAGGATAAGAGCAAACTGCCACCTAGTCCACAGGGCCGGTAGGATTGTGGTGCCAGGACCTACCTTGATTTGAGCAACAACTTGAGTAGAGTAGAGTATAGAGTAGAGTATAGAGTAGAAGTAGAAGTAGAGTAGAAGTAGAGTGGAAGTAGAAGTAGAGTAGAGCAGAGCAGAGCAGTGCAGTGCAGTGCAGTGCAGTGCAGAGCAGAGCAGAGCAGTGCAGTGCAGTGCAGTGCAGTGCAGTGCAGAGCAGTGCAGAGCAGAGCAGAGCAGAGCAGAGCAGAGCAGAGCAGAGCAGAGCAGAGCAGAGCAGAGCAGTGCAGAGCAGAGCAGAGCAGAGCAGAGCAGTGCAGTGCAGTGCAGTGCAGTGCAGAGCAGTGCAGTGCAGTGCAGTGCAGTGCAGAGCAGAGCAGAGCAGAGCAGAGCAGAGCAGAGCAGAGCAGAGCAGAGCAGTGCAGAGCAGAGCAGAGCAGAGCAGAGCAGAGCAGAGCAGAGCAGAGCAGTGCAGTGCAGTGCAGAGCAGAGCAGAGCAGAGCAGTGCAGAGTACATCTAAGACAATAGCGCGCGTACATGCAGGGAGCACAAGAAGTGCAGATTACGTTGTGACATCGCAGACATCCCTGTGCAGAGCATCAACTAGGGTGTGAAAGGCAGAAAGCTGATATCAAGAGACTGAAAGAAAGTTCTAATGGACAGATGGAAGGCTTGTCTTCCTCCTCTGTCTCGTCTGTGTGTCTATGAACATCCATCTTGACACGTGTTCGAAACAGGTGTAACTTTAGTGAAAACTCCTGCCCTTATCGAAAAATACAGCTAGGAAAGAAGGAGGCGAGGGAGACAACGTCAACGGCCTCTCTTCCGCAGCTCCATACCTGGGAAATATATGAGGGGAGTGAAAGTAACAGAGGACAGAAGCCAAGATGTAGAGTTTGTCTATGGATATGAAGACTTCTGCAGTGATGGATGCGACAAGATGTATTTCATGCGTCATACCATCTTTCGACCAAATCTCTTTCTGCCTGTAGACGTTCTCCTTTGCATCCAAGACCTTCTTGGTGTCTGATCTGATGACAAGTTTGTCAACAGCCTCGAAAGGAGATTTCCTAAAGCTTCAGTGGCCACGTCAGCCGACGAGTCAAGGGTAACGAAAAGTCTACCGAAGGAGATGGCTCATTGCTTCCGCGGTGGTAACAGATGCTTCTGGAAACGCTGTCTGACATAAATATGAGGTATGCAGCGCAACAGGGCAAAGACTTACAGCAAACAAGTCGGCCAGCTCGTCTAGTTTGCTCGCTGTGAATTCCGCCCTCAGATCTTTGGAGTTGAAACACGATTAAGCTTCTCTTCAAACGCGCAAGGTTCATAGTCCATTGTGGTCACGTACCGTTCTCATAAAAGTGCTTGAAAAGTCGAGAGAGCTGGAAACGGGTCGCCTTTCCGAACTTCAGTTGATAATCGATTCTACCGGGTCGTATAAGAGCTGGATCAAGCGCTTCAATGTTGTTGCATGTCATGAAAACGATTCTTGATTCCTACAGCATGCTATCACGAAATCCTTACAATCCTACCAAAGTGTTTTCACCTGAGCGTCCACCCCATCGATAGCATTCAGGAGTCCTTCGAGACTGATCGATGCACCTATTTGTTAAGAGATTCAACTGCACACAGTGATATGGCCCACAAAGAGACCTGTCCTTCCACTGTCTAAGTCGTTGTGCAAGAACCTTCTTCGAGTGCTGTCGATGTCCTACAGGTGCTCACGTCAGCGAGACTCTCTGGACTCAACAAGTGAACCTCGAGTAAGATGATGCTCTTCTGTGCAGCGGAAGAGAAAAGAGAATTCAACCCTTCATCTGAAATTCGCAGTGATCTTCAATGGCCCGATGCACCAATCCTCAAATTCACCGTTCAAAGTCTCCAACGCCATGGACAATATGTAGACCGGCATCTGGCAAGTCGTCAACACTGCCATCATCGCAGTACCTTGTGATCACTTGGAATTCCCCCGCAATCGCTTTCACTAACGAGCTCTTGCCTGTCCCTGGCGGTCCGTGCAGCAAGTACCCGTCTGTGCAGACCGTCAAAGGAGCGGCAGATGCTTCAGTGCAGTCACCAGCACCTGTACGGCAGCCCCCTCCCTGCATACCACTGCTCCGATCTGAGAAACTGAGCACACAGTATTAGGAAGCAAGACACTCTCCCTGCTATCAAGACCTCCTGCACATCACTGAAGATGTCCTCCCCATCGGTCCCATCCAGTATGACTGACTTGATGGGACGGCTGAGCCGGAACCCTCCGTCCACCCAAGAGCATCCCTGAAAGCGTCTTCAGTCATCTTCCTGAGGCTCCAGGGAGGAAGCAGGAACTTTACCGTGCGGCCACCTAGCCCGTACCCCTGGTTTCCAGATACCCGAAAGAACTGAAAATTACAGGCAAGCGCGATAAGAAAGGGGTCAAGGCAGCTGGTACATCAGGTGAACCTGTGTCTTCTTGACCAGAAAGCGGGAAGACAGCCTCTTTCCCTCCAAGATGAGCTCCCGCATCCGTTGGTGGCCCTTGTACCTCAGCATGCAGACCTCAATCTTCCCGTTGTTCAGGTCTAACTCCGTCCAAGGAGAGCCGTGCGATGAGAGCTGACCATACCACGAGCTGGTAGATGGCAAGTGATCGTTCCTGTCTGCGCGAGGAGATGGCGAAGTTGGGCATCTCCTCAGCCATACTGGCCATGACTTCCACCATACCAACACCTCCCTGTCCACCACCGGGCGCAGGGCTACCTTACTGTCTCTGCCATGGCTGCCGCCAGTGTCTGAGTCGCTGTTGCACAAGACATCCTCTAGGGGATCTTCTTCCACCATGAGCGAAGGTCTCCACCGCAGGGATGCGCTGCTGATCGCCGGATGCTCCTCCATCCATCGGCACAGCGCGAAGTGCTCTTGGGTGCCGCGGTCGAGTTCGTAGTAGATCAGCAGCTTCGAGTGCAGCCAGTCCTTGAGCAGCTGCCAGAGACGCCAGAGGAGCGAAACCAGGAACCCTCCAGCTCCCAGCATGATCGAACCCCCCAGCAGCTGCCCCTGCACTGCCCCCGCCACTGCCTCCCATGTCTGCATGGCAATCGGGCTCTCTCCTCCAAGCAAGGCAACAAAGCAGCTTGTAAGCCCGCCTCAGAATCTTCCCCGAGCATGGTGTCGGGCGGGTAGATGTGGCGGCGGGGCAGGAGCAGGAGCGACAGAGCATGCGGTGCAGATGTTGTTGCAGGTGATGGGAAGATGCGAAGGATGCTCTGTGAAGCAGACGCTGGGGTGAGGGCCAGCACGACGTTCTTGCTGGGCACTAGCGAGTAGGTAGCGAAGCCCTGTGAAGATGGCTGGGGTTCTTGGGCTGATCAAGGGAGCCTACTCCTCCCTGCCTGAGATCAATGGTGCGACTTTGAGTGGAGCAATAGACATCTTGGTGATAGAGCAGGTCAAGTCTTCTTGCCATCTTTGCAATGCTCGCTGAAATCTTGCAGGAGGACGGGAGTTTGCGTTCATCGCCCTGGCATCTCAGGATCGGCAAGTACAAGCTCTTAAGGAATCCGAGGGATAGAGCCATCAAGATCACAGTCAATGACCAGCTCGTTGACTTCGTCATGAAGCTCGGGAGTGGGGGAGAGGCTTACTTCGTGGAGGAGACGGACGTGAAGCCTTTGGAGGAGGAAATGACCTCACCCATCCTCTCTCCGAGATCTGACGAGGACGACAAGCCGCCAGACCTTGCTCTCGGCCCGTCGAAGCTGTCTGAGACGGAGGAATCGACCTCAGGTTACACTAGCCCATCGCCTACCTTGCGAGCTCTAGACGACAAGGACGAGCTGCCTGCGATGAGTTCAGCAGACCCGTCGAAGATGGTTTCGTCCTCCAGCTCTTCATGGTGGGGGGCACCTTGGTCGTCCAACAAGCCACAGGCAAGTTTGTGATAGTGTCTGTTGGACAGCTCACTTGGGTACAAGGTTGACAGTTTCGACATGGACGTTGAGGACTACATATCAAGGCAGTTGACCGAGAACGCCTTATCCTTGCAAGGCGGAGCTGCTGAGATGAACATGGAAGACGTCAAGAAACTGATACTTGGAGAGGTTGTGAGAAGGTGATTCATGGTGATTTGCTGATTTGCTGATGATAGGAAACAAAACATGCGATGCAAGCAAGGCGAGTGCTGTCTGAAGAAGACTTTGCCGATCAAGACATGAGTGCTGTCACGGGGCAAATCATTGAGAGTGAAGACCTCGAATATCAGCAACCTCTCGAACCCTTCCATTCTTTATCACAAACAGAGCTCGACGACAATGAGAAAACAGAGCTTGACGACAACGAGGACGTATCACTTTCGCCTTGCTACCCACAACAGTTTCCTCCGAGGGCTTAGTTGTTGGCAGGAAACAATGTCCGATCCCTATGCAAACCCCGTCGAAGGAGCCGCGGAGAGCGAAGAAAACCAGAAGGTGCTTGTTGAGATTCGTCCATGGGAGGGTGATCCAAGTGTTGTGGCAGGAGGACCTTGTGGTCGAGGCTGTTGAGGCTGATGCCAATAAGGTCAGAGGACAAGAGTTAGGTGAGACGTGGAGCAAGCGGTGATGTTTGCAAGCAGTTTGCGCTGAAGAAAGAGGAGGAGTATGAAGAGGACGATTTCAACGACTCCAAGATGGAGTCAGAGCCCGTGACGAGGGAAGTCCTCCTGAAACTCCTGCTTAGTGGCCTCAACCACTCGGACTCAACGGTCTGGCATGAGGAGCAGACAGCAAGGAAACCCCCTCTCTTAGCTTCTGTGCAGGCGAGAACGGATGAGATGGATCAGAGTGTCGAAGAGCTTCAGGGCCTGAGTCTCCGACAGTTCAAGATCTCCCTCTGCGGGAGGATCCTACAGCAGAGGGCAGACATGAGCAGGAAAGCTCAGATGGAGGTCAGGGCGGCGCTAGTTGGGCGTCCCGGCTTTGCGAGCTCACTGCGCGCTCCAGGCGTTTGAGAAGCATGTGGTGACGCTCGACCAGTTCCTCGCCAACCCTCTTGACATCGCAAGCTCCCCTGAGCTCTACGTCTCTGTCGACGGGGATGTGAGCAAAGGCAGCTCCTGCTACCTGCCCTCTGACTCACGTGCAGATCTATCGATGGCAGATCATGGCGCCGGCAGGTACCTCAGAGACAGTCTCGGAGGTCCTGCAGTGATGTAATAACGTGTCAGTCTTGTCCGCACTTGCGTTCAACCGCGAGCTTCCTTCGGAGATTCACCAGCAGGTGGGGGATGCTTTCTCAGCTTGATCGCTCCTCATGCCCCTCGCCCTTGCAGCTCGTTGCTCTTGACTCTCGATTCTCCATGTTCCACCATGAGCGGAAGGTGAATGTTGGGAGGAGGAGAGGAGAGCAAGATTGTTGACTGTTTGAAGAATGACGAGAAGGGGATCGAAGACATAGACGACAACCCACACATGCTGCTCCGCTTGTCATCCGACGACGACAGCGACATCCGAGCTCAGGTCGCTCGTGGTTGAAGTTTGACCCGAGCCGGGCTCCTGACGAGCTTGGAAGATGGGGGTTGCAAGGAAGTACTCCAAGAAGACTCTTACCCCGACACAAGAGCAGCTATTGTCGCTCCCGTTGAGAGTGAGTGATCAGCGACTTGTTCAAACAACCTTGGCTCAGCGGCTAGCAGGACGGGCCCAACACTGTTCGATTCTACTTGTCCGAGAAGGTCGCGTCCTCCACGTGCCTTCATCTCATGCTGATCGCTTCATCCAGGCGTCAGTGCCTCCTGTCACAGCTTCTATCTTCCTGTGGACTTACAAGGTTGGAAGATCTTCACATAATGATTTCCGATCAAAACTTTCATTGCTGATCCGTTGTGAAGAGCAAGATTGTGATATCAGATGTCGACGGGACCATCACAAAAAGTGATCTTCTTGGGTATGCTGCTCGGTCTGTGTCAAGGTTGTCTGATGGTATTGCTCTTCAGTCATATAGCGCCAGCATTTGGAATTCAATGGGCTCAAAAAGTATAGACCGATGTTGCCTGCCTGCCTGCCTGCCTGCCTGCCTGCCTAAATTATGCGGTCATGCTGACGAAAACATCAGGGGGTTGCTCAACTGTTGACCCGTATTCATCAGAACAGCTACAAGGTTTTCGACGATGAATCGCTTTCCCGCTCATCAATCTTTGTCGCAGATCCTCTATCTGACTGCTCGACCGATTGGACAGGCTGATGCGACAAAGAGCTATCTTCAGAGGTAAGAGAGCTGCGCAGGAGATGATTCATACGTGTTGCAAAAGTGCTGAGTCTTTTCTGCTTCACTGCTCAACAGTGTTCACGAGAACGGCGTTCGGCTCCCGATCGGACCAGTCATCACCTCGCCTGATGGGATGATCAAAGTGACCATCTCGCATGCTACCATCTCCAACCTCCTCACTCCTCCTGTCGACAGGCTGTTCATCGAGAGGTGATCATGCGGAAACCGGAAGAGTTCAAGGTGTTTCTGCCTCTTGCTCCTCGCCTGCATGTTTGTGACCATCGTACTCATCCCAGATCGAATGTCTCAGCACACTGCGCAAACTTTTCCCCTTGGACTCGCTCCCTTTCTATGCAGGTGAAATTCCTCGCAACTCTTTCCTGGTTTGATCCCATCATTGAAATGCTCTGCAAGGGTTCGGCAATCGTCCTACGGATGTTGTATCCTACCAGGCTGTCAAGATCCCTGACAGGTAGAGCAGACGTCGCTCGAAATTTCTCACACTGTCCTGTGCAGTCGTATAATGATCATCAACCCGCAAGGCGAAGTTCACATTCCCATCAATCAGACACGCATCTCCTCATACGATGGTGACATTCCTACGTCTTGCTATCTTCAAACTTTCGTTGAATTTCCTGCCAGGTCTGCGTGAGCTATGTGACCTCATGTTCCCTCCTGTGGTCGAGGAAAGAGAGGTCGTTTCCATTCCCTCCCTTCCCCCCTCCCTCCTTCCCTCTCTCCCCCCTCCCTCGTTCCCTCGATTCGTGCCGTCTTTTTGTCCTTCACTTTGTCCTCGTCCTCCACCGTCTCCTTCACTTTGTCCTCGTCCTCCACCGTCTCCTCTTCTCCCTCCCCTTTCTCTCTCACGAAGTCGGCAGGTCACCGATGAACAGTTCAATGCCTACAACTACTGGAAGCTCGAGCCCTTCCCTGCGATCTCCGCATGAGATTTTCACTTGTGTATTTACATCAATGAAAAAAACTCCCAATTCTCTGAAAGCAATCACAGTGTATTGACATGATATTGCTAAATCAGTCAAGGTTGCTTTACAAGAATCCTGCATTCCTTCTAATGTATAGTTTGTTCAGAAATGATCGAATGACAATCAGGGGAGTGACTTATTAGATTACATGGCTATGGCGCTGCAAACTAGGAATCATCTTCATCTGATTCTTCACCTTCTGAGCTCAACGTCGAACTCTCGTCAGCAGCTACACTTGAAATGTCTTCCCTATTGTCCGACTTTGCCTGTCTCGGTCTGCAAACAACAGCATAAGCACGACCGCACAAAACTCTTGCATAGATGATCTACTTGTACGGTTGGATAGGTTGGATAGGAATGAAAGAAGCCACCAACTCCTCGATCAGTCCCATCCCGTCCATTCCTGCACAGCTAGGGTCAAGGATAACAGCTACTTGCCCCCAAAATCCACCGCTCAATTTGTCAGGATGGAGCACTGGCGGCTGCTGGGGTGCGCAGCATTAGTCAGCTCAAGGAATTGTCATGCAGACGTCAGCAACCGACGAGCTGGTCCAGAAGGGGTTCCAAGAGTCCGAAGGTCTTTCTGCGAGGAGTGATCAGTGCGATCCCTTGAGCTCTTCCTGCATTGCCAGTGAAGGAGATGGCCCGAGGGACTCGACCCAAAACTTCATGTTCATCTACTCCGTTCTCCATAGCCTTCCTCGCGTGAATCTGCCAGCACAGGCAGAGGAACGGTTTGTCAATGGTGCGATGTTGCATCATGATACATTGGATCATACCATGGTTGGTTTCCAGTTCTTTCCTTCGAGTTCTATGCTTGCAAGCATCGTATCGGGATGGAGCCTGGTGCCTATATGTTTACAGCTTTCAATGTCGGGGGAATTTCTCCATACAGATGAGTCTTCTTGTCCTCCTTGGCTATTCGTTTCAGAGCTTCCGCCATCTTCAGCTGCTGAGCTCGCTTCGAATCAGGATCGAGTTTGCCTGCTAAGACATGATGGATCGTGCAGGCTGTTAGGTTGCATGTGTTACCAGCGCCATCACTCCTCGAGCTCGATGACCGCATTCTGCTCGCAGATCGTTCGGAGGATCAGAAACCTAGTCTGTCTGTGCTCGTTCTTGTTCCTTGTCTCTAGATCGTCTTCAAGTTGCCTTGCTCCAGCTCGTTTCTCCACGCTAACCAGCGATTTGACTTTCCGTTACATATCCGTTTCAGAAGACCTACGTCGACTTTTCTCCACCCCCTGATGAAGCCGAGAATGTACGGGTGATCGAATCCAACATTATTTCCGTTACTCTAGCAGCCCTTTTCATGTAACTGACAATTAAGTCCATTGTTATATATTTAGTTTGTTAATATCATGGCGACGCAGGATGTAGGAATGGGGGTCAGGATCAAGACAGGGAGGAGCGTCCACTTCGATCCTGAGAACGTCCAGTTGTTCATCAATGCGCTCTTGAACCTTCAGAAGTCCAGGCAGGGCGCTCGCGTGCTCGACTTGGGCTGCGGCACTGGGCTGTGGGGTCTGCTGGCCTCCAAGATCTTGAACCCCTCCATCCTTGTAATGGTTGACAACGATCCCTGCTCTGTCGAACTCGCCAGGAATAATGCTGCAAGCAATGAAATCGTTTGTGAGACTTATTGCGGAGACTTGTACCAGGCCATCCCTGCTGATATCCCTCCGTTCGATGTCGTTCTTTGCAATCCGCCACAAACAGGTGGGCCGCTGCGTCTCAAGGAGGAGAGGCCAGATAAATACGGTGGGGAGGATGGGGCAGATTTCTTTGACTTGCTTGCGAGAGACTCGGGGGGTTGGATCGCCGATGGAGGCTGTATCATCTTCTCGCAGCACGGACTAGCGCACCCAAAGAGGGTACTCGATAGTTTCCATTCACGGGGCTACTCCCTCAGAATCATCGCAGAGCAAGAGAGGGTGTTTGAAAGAGACGCCGTCAATGCGGCGTGTGAAGGACTTTGGGAGTATCAGCTGAAAGCTGAGAAAGAGGGGCGGGCGGAGCTGGAGCTGAGCGGGGAACGGTGCTTCACTTCATGGCAGAGGGTTTACTTGGCAAGCAGGGATGGGTTTGCAAGCAATTGATGATGTTTTCCTCATTCATTGTTTGGTTTCATTTTTTTCAGTCTCAAAGTATGTCTAAAAAGCATATGCAGACATGCTGTACTTCTCCATCACGATGTACCTGGCATCTCTGCTATGTACCTGTGCAGAAGTAGCAGTAGTGATTGCAATTGTATGTATGTAAAGAGATCAGTTGATTGTCTTGAATCATCGATTGAAACATGTCCGTTGATCAATACTTCTCAGAGTCCGCATGGTTGTACAAGGTTTACATGCGATGGGACCCTTTCGGGCGTTCAAGGATGGTGGATTTTCACAGCGTCTCTCCACGTGACTTGCTGGAAGAAAACCTCTCTCCACACCATCTCTTCCCCTCCCTGTTCGATCCTGCCCTCCTGCCTGCTGCCCTCCTGCCCTCCTGCCCTCCTGCCCTCCTGCCCTCCTGACCTCCTGCCCTCCTGACCTCTTGCCCCCCTTCTTGTTTCCTCTACCCTTCCTCCTCTCAGCAGAAAATCTCAAAATCTCGCAATCGCTTTTGTGCTTTTTATTATTATTTATTGACTCTGAAAAAGGAAAGGCAAACCGGAGCAAACAAGCTTTTGTAAAAACAAAACGGCGGTCAATATGAAAGGCCGGTCAATCAAACCAGCCATCGATGGCGAACAGGACGGGCGGGAAACAATCGCTCCTGCTCCTGCAAGGCTGATAGCGCCTCTCCCTCTGCTCCCACAGAGACAGCTAACGACCTCCTCTCGTACTCCATGACACGCTGAGCACGGGGCTCGGGGCTGCGACACAGGACGGGCGGCACAAGGATGGCAGAAGAAATTGCAGTGGAGGGCAAGCGAGCGCCATTGCAAGAGGGCAAGAAGCGCAAGAAGAAGTCGAAGCTGAATCGCTTCCGAAACTTCGTCAAGGTGAAGGAGCAGAGGAGACTTGAGCCCGCCGCTGACCTTGCCTGCAGACCAGGTTCATCGAGACGTCGATCTTCGAGGGGATCGTCTCGGTCTCTGTTCTCGCCTACTCTGCTGCGCTCGCCACAGACGACGTCCTATCCACCTGGAGGAACCTTACGAGTAGAATGGAGGTCATCCTGTGATGGCGATTCCATCCTGCCCCGCTGACTGTCTTCCCCCCCCAGATCAGCAAGTCGGCGTTCTACTACTGTTTCGTCATCTTCAACTTCGAGGCAGCTTTCAAGATCTTCGTGTACGGTCTATGGAAGAAGAACTCAGAGGAAGAGAGCCGTTCGAAGCCCCAGGTGCTCAAAGAGAAAAAGATCCACCAGATCCAAACCATCTTCAACCTGCTGGACTCGAAAGACACCGGCACCATCAACTTCGCTCAGTTCCGAGCAGGCCTGCGGGCCCTGGAGCTCGAGATGAAGGAGACGGATAGCAAGAGACTGTTTGAGACGCTCGACGACGGCCATGGCGTCGAGGTGGAGGAGTTCACAGAGGTGAGAGGGAGGAGCGAGAGGAGGGAGGCGTGTGTACCCTGACAGGGGTCCCTCCAGCTCGTCAAGAAGGCCATGAGCATGCAGCCTAGGTCGAAGAGCTACTTCCAGAACTACTGGAACATATTCGACTTCTTCGCCCTCCTCGCGCAGTGGGCGGCGGTGATCACCCGGTTCCGCATGATGGCGGTCACGATCAGAGGGTACGACCCCTCGGTGGAGGTCCTGCTAGTCGGCAAGATCTTTGTCCTCCTCAAGCTGGTCAAGCTGCTGTGCTGGAAGGAGAGCCTCTTCGATTGGCTCATGGTGCTGCCGCACACAGCGCAGTCGATGCGGTACGTCATCTTCCTCATCTCAGTCATCGTCCTCGTCTACTCCGAGCTCGCCATGAACTTGTTCGGGATTGACGGGAGTCTGAATGCTAAGTGCGTGGTCTCCCCCGACAATGTCATTGCGATGGAGTACGATGAGCTGCATTGGAACAAGAGCAGCACCTTCGGAGAGCTTGAGGTGATCTTGTCTTGCATCACTGACTGATCAGTGATGCCCTTCTCTCCTCTCTTTCCTGGTCCTCAGGTGCCGTTGAGAGTCTGCAGTACTGGAGACAGCGTTTTCGGCAAGTCAAACAACTGCGAACGTCCAGGTTTCGTCTGCTCGTGCAAACCGCCGGCGTCCAATCTCTCCGACAGGGAATATCTCATTGACCACCCAGGTGAGCATTTCGCTGAAGATTCTCATGAAGCTTTTTGAATTTTCTCGAACAGGTTGCATGAGAAGTGAAGTCGGGTATATGGGAAGGATCAATGACGGCAGCCCAAGCCTGCCGAAATACGGATATCTCGGGTTTTCAAACATCGGCACGGCATCGTTGACAACCTTCACGGTAACTGACACTTGATCGATTTGAAGATTGGTAGTGTGACGAGGATGATGTTGATGATGATGTTTGTTGAGATAATGATGATGAACACGATTATGACAATGTTCATGAACAAGATCATAGTCATGATTGCAATGACAATTGTGATAATGATGACGACGACCACACGACAATTATTCACATGACAGTGATTCGAATCGTTGTTGTTGTCTTGTGTGTTGTCGTAGAGGATTGTAGATTGTAGATTGAGCCGCCACATGCCGAGACCATGACAGAGAGCCTTTTATAGCTCATGTGCGAGAGCGACTTCTCGGACCTGCTCCGATACATCTCCGACGGCTACGACTCTGTCACCGCCTGGCTTTTCGTCTTCTCCCTCGCCGTCCTCTCCCGCTTCGTACTCTTCGGCCTTCCCAAGGCAGTCGTCACGAGCTCTTGGATCGATATCAAGAGGGAGCGGCAGGAGATAATCAGCAAGAGGCTGCAGGACAAGGAGGATGACAAGTACATCCAGGAGATCAAGGCCAGGGCTCTGAAGGAGGAGGTGGTGGTCGCCTCCGACAGCAGGAAGCAGTACATGAGGGAAGCGATTATGCGGCGGCTGGCCAACAACGATCCGACGCAGCTCACTGCAGAGATTCGCAACGTTTTCAACCTCTTCGACGATGATGGGTCTGGAGAGCTGGAGGCCCAAGAGATTATGGCGGCCTTTCGCAGGCTTGGGTTGGAGATCACCATGGAGGAAGCGCAGGAGATGGTGGACGAAGCAGACGCAGATGGGAACGGTGAGGAGAGGAGGAGGAGGAGGAGGAGGAGGAGAGTGGAGGGAGGGAAGAGGGTGAGAGTGAGAGGAGGAGGAAGGGGAAGGGAAAAGGGCTGAGGATGAGGAAGGAGGAAAAGGGAAAGGGACGAAGAACAAGAGAGGGTGAGATGGAGGTTTTGACATAGTGTACAGGTGTGGTTGACTGCGACGAGGTACGTGAGAGGAGTCGAACAGTGTTGTGAGGAAGAAGAATTCTGATTCTCTTCCCCCGCAGTTTGTGGAGATGGTGAAGAATTATCTCGTCCAGAATGAGAACGGCGAGGTGGAGGAAGAGGAGTCTCAGCATGAGGAGGAGGTGGAACAGGATGACGTGGTGGTCAAGAAGTGTTTGTTTGGCAACATAGAGCTGCGCAGAAAACCTCTTGGGCCCTTTCAGATCCTCCTGTCAAACATGTGAGTTCACATCAATCCAGCGACTCGATTTACTGATCATTTCGGTCCTTTTGTGCTCCTGTTCTTTTTCTGTGCTTTCGATTGCGATTTCTCCCGTCCATTTCTTCCTGTTTGTCATTGTACCTTGTTATGCTTTCCCATCTCGTGACGTTCCCTCTCCCTTCCCATCTCTCCTCCCCTCTCCTCCCCTCTCCTCTCATCTCGTCTCCTCTCCCCTCCTCTCCCCTCCTCTCCTCTCCTCTCCTCTCCTCTCCTCTCCTCTCCTCTCCTCTCCTCACCCTCCCCTCCTGTCTCTATCTCCCCAGACTGTACTTTCCTCGCCAGATCGACGAGTGCGGCGACCCGGTCGACGACAAGATCATACTGGAAGCTGACATGCGTAACATCGACATCAAGTTCGGTCCTGAGATGGGGCAGTGGAGCATCTTTGCGTCCAAGGGAGGAGTATCTATGATGGAACTGGACGAGAAGGGGAAGGAGAAAAGAATTGTGATTCCTGCTGGCTCCATGATCCCAGACGGGATCGGATACTCCAAGAACACTGGCAGGGCAGATCTGGTCGCGTTTGTGGGGAAGTTTGACAAGAAGCATGACGAGCATACAAGGAAGGTTAAGGAGTTGCTGAACAACACACTCATACGAACTCCCTACATGGAGATGTTCGTGGGAGGTTGCATCGTGCTCAACACGGTCTCGATGACATTGGATCACTTCAGCGGAGAAATTGACATGAGCTGCAACGATCGTTACAGATGCCCTCAGGTTTCAAGTTCTCCCTCGCTCCCTCCACATCCACTCCAAGCCTACTACTCGCTGCTCATCTTCTCTCCTCTCCGCTCTCCTCCTCCTCCCCACTCTTTGCTCCTCCTCCTCCTGCCATGTTTTTCAGTGCGACCGTGTTTTCATTTTCATTCAGACTTTGCACTTCTTCCCCTCTTTATTTTCCCAACCTCCTACAACTCGTTGTCTCCTTGCTATGCCTCCCTTCTTTTTCTATTCCTTCAGCCTTATCACCTGACTCCTCCTAATCTCTTGTGTCAGAACATCGTGGTCATGCCAAAGCTCTTGGATCAGATCTTAAGTTTGTCCAACCTTCTCTTCAACCTGATCTTCACCGCTGAGGTATGTCTTGAGTTTCAATGCGCATGTCTTTGTTTCTTGCTCCCTCTCCCTTGCTCACTTGCTCTCTCCTCCTTGCTTCCACTCCCACTCTCCCACACACTGTTTTCTCCCTCCTGCTCCCTCCGACTCTTCTCTTCTCATCAACTCGCGCACAGGCAGTCATCAAGATCCTTGCTCTGGGCTTCACTCGCTACATCACTGACACAACAAACGTGATTGATCTCACCCTCGTTGCCATCAGCGACCTGTCAAACTTCCTGCAGTACGTCTTCAATGGCCTCAACATTAGCATCTTACGAATCATCCGCTTCCTCCGCATCATCCGCCTCGTCAACCGCTTTCGAAGGCTCCGAATCCTCTTTGCTAAGTTGACGGAATCTTTCGTTTCTCTGGGTGACGTTGTCTTCGTTTCCTTCTGGTTCCTGGGAGTAGCAGCCATCGTCGGTATGCAGATCTTCCCATGTCGAGTGAGGCTACGGCCGGAGCAATGTGCAGACGATGTCAAGGACGAGTTCGGACAGTGTCCTCTCTTTCCCACCGATTGTGATCACCACGAGAACTGCCCGATCTTCTATCATTGCTCCTTCGATGTTCGGAAGAACTACAACACCTTCTGGCGGTCCCTCGCAACAACCCTCGTCTTCATCACTGATAGCAACTGGCTGGACATCATGTACGCCGGCATGCGACACTATAAGATACCCATAGGCGGCGTCTTCTTCTTTCTCACCCTGTACTGTCTCTTCTCCTACTTCATCCTCGTCCTCTTCACAGCGATCTTGATCGAGAACTTCGACACGACTGACTACGAGAAGGAGCAGCTGCAGGTGAGCATGTTCCGCGTGAGAGCCATGCAAGCTCTGAAAGAGCAGCAAGCCAAGCTGATCCGAAACAGAGATAAGAGGAGCGAAGGAATTGTTATCAGGGACGAGCATGACAGCGATGACGACGACGAAGGGGAAGAAGGAGGAGGAGGAAAAGTTCAGGGAAGGGCCGGAGAAGACATCCTGGACATAGTCCGACATCTTGAAAAAGACGACAAGAACCAAGACAGAGATCTCCCAGCGGTCAAGATCTTTGGCTGCCTCCAACCTCCCGCAAACAATAATATCCGCCAAGTCGCTCGATCCATCAGGACCAACAAGTGGTTCGACGTGCTGATCCTCTGCACTATCATCCTCTCTTGCATCATGCTCGCTCTCGACTCGCCCATAGAAGAGAACATGGTGATCAAACCGCAGAACGTCCTCAAGGTCGAGTACGCTCTCTTCACTATGTTCTCCCTCGAGTTCCTCGTCAAAGTGCTTGACCACGGCTTCTACTGGGAGCATCCGCAGGCGTATCTGCGCAGCACCTGGAACATCCTCGACTTCACCATCCTCCTCTGCTCGATTCTTGACTTCATGGGGTTTGCGAACCTCGCGGTCGTCAGGGTGCTCAGGGTCGTTCGTCCCCTCCGCTTCTTTAACAAGTTTGCTTCATTGCAGACTCTGATCAACTCGCTGGTGATGTCAAGGAAAGAGATTCTCAACGTGTTCTTGGTATGGGCAATCACCTTTATCATCTTCGCGCTTGTTGGGACCATGCTGTTCGCGGGGAACCTTTACAAGTGCAATGATGACGCAGCAGGTGAGCAAGGGGTTGTGGTTGTTCAAACGAGTTGTGTGTGTTTGATATGAACCGATCGATAAGCATGTGATTGTCTTGTTGTTTATGATATTCCTCAATCCTCAATCCTCTTCCTCCTCCCTCCTCCATCTTTCTCCTCTTCCTTTCCCTCTCTGCCCTCTCCTCACATGGTGTGCAGGAACAAGGCCCGTCTATCACTCCATCGACTGCACCAGCGCCGCCCCTCCCACCATCGCATGGTACAGAGGAGAGCTTCAAACCAGCATGTGCGACGAGCAGACCAACAAGCTCCTCGCTCCTCCCATCACCAACAGAATCCAGTGCAGCGGCTCTTTCCTCTCCTCCTATGCACGAGGGTCCCTGCACAAGAGCTTCGTCTTCGACGGCGACAGGACTGAGATCCTCCTCCCTCGTGTGTGGGAGAACCCAGCTTCCTCCTCCTCCTTCGATCACTTCGGGCTGGCGATTCTTTCCCTGTTTGAGCTGATCTCCCTGGAGAACTGGTCGGAGATCGCCTTCAGTGCAGTTGACATCGTAGGAGTCGGTTATCAGCCTCGACACAAGTGAGTTACGTTGAAGAGCTTGCTGAGCGTGCAAGCCGTGATGGTGATGGTGATGGTGATGACTGGGGAGGAACGAAACGGTGCTGGTGATGACAATGACGACGACGATAAAGATGATGATGATGATGATGATGATGATGATGATGATGATGATGACGACGACGACGACGACGACGACGACGACGACGACGATTATGACGATGACGATGACGATGATGATGACGATGACGATGACGATGACGATGATGATGATGTATGCTGTGTATATGGACAACGATGCCGACATCATAGATGCATGGAAGCGAGATGGGCATCCACACTGAAACTGTTTGTGCACACAGTGAGTCTCCGATTTACTTCTTCTACTTCGGGCTGTTCATCCTGATCATGGTGTACTTCATCCTCCAGCTCCTCGTCGCCATCTTCATAGACAGCGTCAGGATGAGGAGCGGGATGATCATGTACTCGGAGCTCCAGAGAAACTTCATGAGGTTCGAGAACAAGATCGACAACTTGACAAAGGTGAAGGAGATCCCAATGCCGACGAAGAGATGGCACAGACGCCTGTTTGTCTTCGTCGAAAGCCTGCAGTTCCAGTACTTCATCATGTTCGTTATCTTTCTCAACGTGGGTTTCATGGCGTCCGAGGGATATGCCGTGCAGAGCTCTTGGACGTCTACTTTATCCTCCATCGACAACGTCTTTATCGTCATCTACTCCATCGAGATCGCCTTGAAGTGTGTCGCCTACGGCTTTGCCTTCTTCAGCAGCTCCTGGAACCTTTTCGATCTTTTCATCGTACTCATCAGCATTGCTGAACAGACTCTGTCGCGATCCGTCGGCATCCGAGCCCTCCGTCTCCTCCGCCTCGTCCGCGTCTTCCGAACGGTCAAGATCATTCGGAGGGTTCCTAAACTTTACCTCCTCTTTCAAGCCATCTCTGCCAGCCTGCCAGGACTTTTCGCTACCTTCCTTGTTGTCTCCATCTTTCTCTTCATCTTTGTCTGCGTTGGGGTTCAGTTCTTCGCAGAAGTCAAGTTTGGCGTCAGTCTGGACAGCTATCGCAATTTCAAGAACACCTGGACTGCGCTGACAGCTCTCCTACAAGTTATCACAAACTCTGGTTTCCGCGGTGTTCTACAGGATCTCATGATAGAGGCGCCTTATTGCACTAGGTGTAAGAATTGTGTTCAAGACAGTTTTGGGAGATGGCAGGATTACTCGGATTGTGGGAATGCAATCTTTGGTTCTATTTTTCTCAGCATCTACTTCATCTTCATGAAATATGTTCTCCTCAACTTGTTCATCAGCATGTTGGTCGAAAGCTTCTTTAACTTTCACGTGGAGATGAAGTTTGTATTGAACAGCGAGCACATAGAGTCTTTCAGGGTAAGTCTGCATGGGAAATCTAACGATTGCTCTCTATCTCCTACTTCCCTTCATGTCACCCTCCCTCTCCTTCCATCCTTTCTCTTGTTTCTGCCTCTTCTACCCCCTGCCTGCCTGCCTGCTCGTAGTCTGCCTATCAGTCTCTGTCTGTCTGTCTGTCTGTCTGCCTGCCTGCCTGCCTGCCTGCCTGCCTGCCTGCCTGCCTGCCTGCCTGCCTGCCTGCCTGCCTGTCTGTCTGTCTGTCTGTCTGTCTGTCTGTCTGTCTGTCTGTCTGTCTGTCTGTCTGTCTCTCGCTATCTCTCGCTGTCTCTTGCCTGCTCCTCCTCCTCAGTCTCGTTCCTTCAGTCGGCTTGGAATTCCCTCGACGCCAGGCAAGACGGGACGCTGAGCATCACGAAGCTGCGCAACCTTGTGGAGATCTTACATCGGATGAACAACCCGCTCGGCTCAAGCTTGTTCTGCGACGAGTTCAAGATGCGGGTAGCAAGGATCGAGCTTATGGAGGACGGTCTGCCAGGGCGGGAAATGTCTTTCCGCAAGACCCTCCGCGTCCTGTCCCTGCATGTGACGGGGCCCCAGGCTCTGCCTTACAGGGAGAAGCTGATCCAGGAGGAGAAGATCGCAAGGCTGACGCAGGTGAGCAAGGATGAGGAATCTGTGCTGAGGAGAGATGAAGGAGATGGTGAAGGAGATAGGAGTGTAGAGGAGGGAGAGAGCATCTGTTCAAGGAGTAGACTGCTTCAGACGATGTGTATACGTGTTTTAAAGTTGCTCACTGTGCTTTCTTAGATGGCGATTGTTAGTGCCCTGACGACTTCGTACGGGCAAAGAAAACTGGCGCATTCGCTTTCATCGGACCGAGACGCGTCGCTGAGCAAACTTGTGAGTGATGTTAGCAGACAAACATCAAGTTTTCATGTTTCTTGTCAAACATTTTCTGCTGATGTGGATATCCGTGTTTCTTCTCAAACATTTTCTGCTGATGTTGATATCCTCTATTATGTTGACATCGCTTCCCATTCGCATCTTCTGACTACTTTGGACATGTGCACTTATCTACTTGCTCCACTTGCACAGAGTCAAATCAAGAGCATCAGCTCTCACAAGCAACGCCTCGGGGCATCTTTGAACTTCACTGCAAATGGAATGAGGTCACTTTACAAAAAGATCTTTCACTTCCTTCTCCTGTCCCTGACTCTGCCGCTACAACTGCTCCTGCTCCTGCTCCTGCTCCTGCTCCTGCTCCTGCTCCTGCGCCTGCTCCTGCTCCTGCTCCTGCGCCTGCTCCTGCTCCTGCTCCTGCGCCTGCTCCTGCGCCTGCTTCTACCACACTTGCTTGCCATCAATACTTCCAGCTCTCCTTCCATGCTGCAACCTTCTTCCCTCCCTCCCTGTCTGCTCTCCCTCCTCACTTCCTCTTGTAGGAAGAAGATTCGTCTTGACATGACATCGGAAATGCTGATCAGCTACGATGAGAACGATGCAGCTGAATTCGAAGTTTGTTCTGATTGCAAACATCTGCTGGTTGCTCACAAGCACGATTGTGGCAGATTCCCTTCCCCGACATCATCGACGTGATAGACAAGAAGCTGCTAGTCGGCAGTCCTGTTGTGCTGGTAAGAGCAACAACAGACATTTTCACAACAACACAAGAACAGGATCCGGTGATTTTGTGTGACTGACGCATCTTGTCAGTGCTTAAGGAGCGGAGATGATCTGATCCTAGAAATCGATTCTGAATGTCGACATCAGGTCCATCTGATGTCTAGGGAGCTCTTCCGCGAGGTTTACTTGTTTGCAAACAGTTCATCGAAGTTGTGCGAACTTTCGTCTCTGCGTTCCGGGCGGCACAGGTGCGAGGTTCTTGTGATGAGATAGCCTGCTGACATGTCACAACAGGAGGAGAGCCAAGACAACGAGGGCAGGATGACCGGTGAAATTTGCAATCACTGCTGTGATGTGATGTGATGTGATGTGATGTGATGTGATGTGATGTGATGTGACGTTATTCAATATGGTATATGAGCTTATTTCATGTTATATCATGATATGATATCATGTATAATGATATGATCTGATGACATCTGCTCATAGGGGCGAACATTTCAGACATGATGGTCTTCAGGTGACCCTCACCTACTTTTATCTCTCTATCTTGTCCCTCTTCTGTCCCTCTCGCTTCCCCTTGCTCCTTTCACACTGCTCTCTCAAGACCCTCCTCCACATGCTCCTTGCTCCTCTCCTCTCCTCTCCTCTCCTCTCCCATCCTCCCCTCCCCTCCCCTCTCCTCTCCTCTCCTCCCCTCAATATCCCTCCTGCATTCTCATCGACACTCACGTCAGATATCTCGGAGGACAAGCTGTAAAGGACATGGAGCGACTTGTCTATAGCGTTCGATCTAAGATCAAGAAAGAGTGAAGAGATCAGATGTCTGACGTTTCGAGCAATGTATGTACATAAAGTCCAGGATCGTACAATGTGAAGTTAAACTCTACAATTCCTTCTCCTCGAAGAGTATGATTTCCGAATCGCTCAACGAGAACAGGAAAGATCCGACGTTCTGCAAGGACAATCAGGCATAATCCTTGAGCGATTCGCAAGCAACCTTTACATCCAGCACTGGAGATGAGTGTGGCTGAAGTCAACAAGTCAGATGATCGATCCTTTCAGACATCCAAAATTACAGGAAGCTTGTCCTTCACGCTTCCTTCTTTCGTCTCCCAGATCCACAAAGACTATTGCATGTCATATGTTGCTATTGGTTGACAACCGCTCGACTGACCTTGGACGTCTCATCTCCTGACGCAACACTGAAACCATCACTTCCTGCGAGCATCACGCATGTCAACAAAGAAGCTCGCAACGAGGTGGTGAAGAAAAGTTTGATCCTTGCCATCAGAACTTGTCTTGATGAAAGACGATCTTGACAGGAACTGAGAGCCTGCAAACATGCATTGACGTCTCAACCACCACAAGAAATTCTTCATACCTGCATGCCCTACCAGACGGAGAGTCTCTTCAGGCTGGATCCCTCCCGATTCCTCCTACGGCGCCGACATCATGTCGACATCGCACGTGGACAAAGGAAGCTGTTACATTCAGACGAAACGTGACGTGGCATGGTTTTGAGCCAGCAGACTCTGAGTTACGGAAGGAGGCGAGACACATTTTCAAACTGCAGACAAGCTCCTGTCAAACAACAAGACGTGCTGGGACCTTCTGTCCACTGACTTCACCTGGCGTCGCACGACACCGACGTGCATTGAGTGGCTTCCAGTTGAATCGCTGAACAACTGACTTGCGACTGAGTATCGGAGAGATCCTCCGACATGAATGTCCAACAACAACACCCTCCAGTTGTTCCCCCGATCAAGCTTGTCCTGATGACCGAGGTGAATTTGAGAATTTCTCAACAACAAAGTCCTTCACCCCATCATGCACAGACTGTGAGTGGGTTGCGGGTAAATTCCTGCGATGATTCTGCAAGGTTTTGATGTGATCCTCGTATCAAACAGGTAAACACGATTCTGAAAATTCTTTCAGACTTGTCCCACATCCTTTCTCATAATTTTACCTGCGCTCCTCCACAAAAGAATAAATTGCGATTCTTTTGCCATCATGTCAGCGCTTAGTAGTGTGCAAATTTAAGTAGGCCGATCACCTTTGGGTGCCAACAACAACTCCATAACGCATCTGATACAGCATAAGAGTGCACGAGCGTGTTGTTCTCGATGTTGGTTATGCGAACAGTCTTTCATGCAAGAAAAAAAAGGTGAGCCGATTGCAAGGAGGAGAGGCAGACTGACCTTGTCAACGCTGCATGTGAGGACTTGCGTTCCCATGTGTGGCTCTACCTGTACAGGTTGTTCACACTTTAGCAAACTCTTCTCATACCAAGACAAACTTTGCAATCACGGATGTGCTTTGTGTGTAGCTTGCCCATAAACTGATGAAATCAATCAGGGTCTGCGGAAGTTCGAAACACGACGGATCCTCATCGAAGACTACCCACAAAAAGTAAAATTCAGCATGTGACTCATACCTGATGGGATTTGGAAACAATGTTGATCTTGCAAAGACTGTATTCCTCGTTGCCCATGAACGCTTGAGGCAGAGAACAAGAAACCAAGATGCAAGACTGGGCCTGCGAGTACATGCTCAAGGTGACATTCTTTTGTTTTCAAAAGAGATCTCGATCTCCGTGGGTTGTCAACATGTCAAACATCATATACCTCAGAGAAATCCATCACCCTTGCCCCCCCGAAGATTCCTCGTACAGTCCATACTCTGCGCCAATGGCCGATCTCAATTTGCAAGTCGGTGGTTGGCTTTGGGTCTGGCATCAACTTCAGCAGCCAGGAGAAATCAATCCATCCAACCAACCGTGGAGCCTTCGCTTCAGTCTGGAGATCTCTTGCAGCAACTCGTCTCTGGCATGCCCCCATGTCAAGACTAACAACATCTAGTCAACAATCTTCACACCTCGACACCGCGAGCTTCATCAACTCGTCTTGCAGTCTTTTTTGCCTGTCAGGTTGCTTTCACACTCTAAAATTGAACTATCACGAATTGCCTCTCTTGAGCTTGAACCCTGAGCTTCCTCTCCTGGCTCAACTCCTGCAGTGCCCTGAAGAACGAATCATCCACATGGTTCTACTTCGATCTCTTCCCGTCCTCACCTATCTTTTTCTGCCGTGTCCACTGCAACCAAGTTGCAAGCATATACAGTCCTGATGTCTCGACGCTTTGCTGCATGGTTACAAGTGGGACAATGCTTCCTCTCCGACAGCCATTTCTGGATACAGCTCGCTCCGAACAGATGGCCGCATCCCAAGCACACAACTCGATGTTCTCCCGTGTTTGTCCACTGCTCGAAACAAATCATGCAGGTGTCGTTCCCTTCAGACTCCTCTCCCTCCTCCCTCTTTCGTTTCAGGTTGCTGTACGTTGAAGTCTCTGGAGCACTCGACGATGCTGAGGTCTGTTGCTGCTTAGCAGCTTGGTCGGCTGGATCGTCGATGATGGAAACATCATCAATCGGTTCAGTTGGAACATGGGATGGAATGTCAAAGATTTGAGCTTCCAGCTCGTTTCGAAGCGTTAAATCAACAACGGTTTCCATGGCTGCTCAAGTATCAATCGTCATCGATTACATTGAGATGTCGGGATGTGATCGCAAAGGCTGCCATCAGCCGTAACTCCGACAGCATCTGAAAACAATCGGTAGAAAGTCAGCCTGAAGCTTGATCCATGCTGAATGGAGCACAAGTTACAAGGCATCAGACTGGGCAACTGTACAAGAGTTGAGAGCAATCAGAGGCTACAAGAAATGAAATGATGTCATTTTGCGTATCATCGACAATATGAGTCAAAGGATGGAATATGAAGACAGAAGAAAGTAACTATGTGATGAGTAGAAGAGGCCAATAGAACGACTTCGTGCAGAGAAAGCAAAAGGAACAAGATGACGGTTGTGATGTGGTGAAGGAGGATGGCAGCAGCAGCAGCAGCAAGAAGAAAGCTGGTAGCAGCAGCGGGAGGACTAGCTGGAGGGGGTGGAGCACAGGAGGAGGAGGAGGAATTCGAGTTGCGAGTGGCGCCATGGCGGGTCATGGAGCCCGAATCTTTGAAAACAATACAGGTAGGGGTGGGGTACGTGCAGAAAATACAAGCAGGGGTACTTTATTCGTATAGTAGAGATGAGTGAACTGTGAAAAGATGGGGTGGGGTAGGGTTTCTAGGCAGGGTAGGGTGTAGAGGCTACAAGATAACCAGCTAGCTAAAATGGTGGGAAGACGAAGTATGCGAGAAGAAGAGCATGTTGAAAGTCCCTCTCCTTCGATCTTGTTCCCTTCCTTGTGCAGATTCCATCTTCTTTCTCCCTACAACGATCTTCTCCTGCAGGTACATAGACAAAAGTCAAACAAACACCAGGAGGAAACAACATCGCCTACCAACTGCACAAGAGCCCGCTCTATCGCCATGAGAAGTGGTGATTCTAGCGCAAGTTCCAGCGATCTTGCAATGGCGGGAACCTTCAGGTTTGCGTCATCAGAGGATTTGTTGCAAGATAAAGGTCTATCTTGATACCTGCAGACTTCCCGGGAGGAGGGAGTGAAGAAAAAGGAAAGGTAGGGTCTCCAGTTCGCCCAAGGCCGTGCTATACACAGTGGCAGCTGCTCCAACCTCTCCTCCTCTTGCCCCGACTTCGACTCTTCCTCCTTCGACCAGGACGTATCTTGCCCGTCCTCGAGAGGTTCTCACGCCTGTTACGGGGACAGGCTGGCGACAGGAATCACGCACAAGAACTATCCTCGCAAAGAGTCACCTGGTATCGACCACCTGCCTCCAAGACGAAGATCGAGTCTCCCACGGAGATGTCAGAGGCTCTGGCGGTCTTGTGGGATTCGATCCCTTCATACCCGCCGGGGCCCTCCCGATGAACCTGCAACGTTGTCGGTCAGATGGGTGGTTACTTTTCACCAGGAGATCTGACCGGGACGAAATGGTTGTTTGAGATCGTCAAGCTTCCTCCTCGCCATTGCAGCTCAACAAGCGGCATGGCTTCCTTGTGCGCCATGACGTAATATACAGGCCGCCATGCCACTTTTCCAGATGCATCTGGCGCTCTGACCAGGTCACCAACGTTGAGATCCTTGATGGCAACTTGCTCCTCCCTCAGTCCTCCATGCTCTTCACTTCGTCGGACCGCGACTGCATCGTCCGCCAAACAACCACCTCCATTGTCATCCACTTCTTGGGCATTGAGCAGCTCAGTCCGTGCCATTCGACAGATTCCACACATCCTCTGCACTTCAGGCTCCTTGTAATAGTCGCCAGTCGGGGAGGAACAAACCTGAGGTAGGTGTGGTGTGAGATAAAAGTCAGAAGAAAACAAAGTGCATCCTGACCGATGTTGCTCCTTCACTTGCGTACATCCTTGGCCCACACTTGTCGTAGAAATCACAAGTCTCCGTTAATCCCTTGATCATCTGGTAGCAATGAGCAAGGTTCCCAGGGTTGTCATTCTCGAATTTCCTGCACGAGTTGCTTATCAGCGCTTGTTCACACAACACAACAAGATCTTCAGCAGAACCTTCCAAACTTTTCATTGCAAGGCCAGATCTCAACATCATCAGGACCACAAAGTGTATCGTCGGAAGGACCTGTAACCACCTGTACCACACAGAAAGGTTGTTCAGTGTCATCGAAAAGTGAGGATCAGTCGATACCCCTCCTGATGATGGCGTCGAGAACGTAGTAGATGCATGCATGTATCCACATCCATCCCACTGGGGAAAGATCGCGTTTGCTTGCTCCACAAGGCTAGGGCCATGTTACTTCCATCAGGGACTGCTGTTCAGCTCACCTAGAAATCGCACAGTTTCTTGCGGCGCCCTTCCCAGAGCTCTCTAGCGATTGCTGTATCACTTTAGAATACTCGAAGTTGCGTCGTTTCATCCCAGTCTCTGCCTTCTTGACAACATCGGCTGGTAAGTAGAAGTATTGCACGTCACCCTGCGAGAAAACCTATCAGACGTCATTCGTCTGCGTCTAACGACGACTACCTCGGAATCCAGGACGGAATGTTGTGCATAAAAATTTCCATTGTGCAACACAATCGCAACCAGGAAGATCGAAAAGCCCGACAGAAGGGAGAAGGCGATCGCAGATGTCCTCATTCTGATTGCCAGGAGGATCGAAGGGAGCGGGGAGAGGAGATGGACTGAGGTGGAAGAAAGATGGAGAATGGAGGGAAAGTCAGGGAGAGGACGGAAAGAGGAGGGAGGAGGGAGGAGGGAGGAGGGAGGAGGGAGGAGGGAGGAGGGAGGAGGGAGGAGGGAGGAGGGAGGGTTGCAGGTCTTAAGCGCACTGCTCCTGCACTATCTCCATTGCCATACTCGAAGGGTCGAACAATAACGGTTCGTAACCATCAGTCACCATTTCAACGTCAGAGTGTAACCGTCATATTTGCGGTTACAATCCGTTGAAAAATTTCAGAGTCCGGCCATGGCAAACTTGAGCGCGTTAAGCCTGTTGGCGATGGCGAGGACAAGCCGACGATGGTGGCCAAGCGGGCGAGTTTCTTCCATCTCATCCCCTGGGGGAAGCGAAGATGAAGCTTCTGTGAGATCCCCCCACACCTCTTCTGATATCTCAACGGATCTGCCGGGTGAAATCAAGACTGGTCCTTCGTGGGCTTCGGAGCTTGAGGAGGAGGGGGAGGGGCAATGCAACACTTCTGACAGGGATAGCCAGCATGGAATTGGCATTTTGTTCAGCTCTAGAGTGCCTCTGCATGATCGAGATAGAATATTCTCGATGGCCATGGAGTCTTTGACAGGAGAACAGAAAGCACTGTTGCTGAACGAAGTTTCGAGGATCTCGTCTGGTGAGCTTCTGAACGCCAACAAAGATCTCGCGAGCTTTCTGGCTTCAGGAGCATCGGATATCGATCTGAGTGGGTGCTCGTTGCTTCGGCCAGAGGTCTGCAAGGACATGTTCACCTCGGTTGGTTCGATGCAGTTGATTTCAATGAACATCTCAGATTGCCATCCGTACATGTCAGGGCTGATGTTGTCTGAGGTTTGGGATCATGTTCCTCGACTCGAGAAGCTCGAGTTTCGTGCTACTTCCCTCTTGCTCAATTTCAATCGAGCCATTAAGGACTTGGCTGTGAAATGTGAGAGAATCACTCACATAGACCTTTCCCTCTCAGTCAACCTGTCTGACGACGCTGTCTCGACGTTGCTAGCATCGTGCAGAGAGCTGAGGGTGCTGAAAGTAGCCAATTGTCCTCGCATAACAGACGACGCCTTCAGAGTGCAGCCGATTTCATCGAGTCTTGCAGAGCTGGAGATGTGGGGTAATCGCGCCATTACAGGTCAGGGCTTTTTCTTCGTTGAGTCTGTCCTGATGCAAGTAACCATGCAGATGTTGCACTTCAGAGGATTGGATGCAACGAGGACATTCGTTTGAGGCGTCTACTACTGACAGGAACGAGCACTACATCGAGGGGGCTTCAGAGTTTGAACCTGGATGAAGTGCGAACGCTCGAGTTGGGAGAGTGCGAGCTGTTCGTTGAAGACATTCGATTCATTCTCTTGTCTGCACGAAATCTGGAAAGGCTGGATCTGAGTTGGTGTGACAATGTGGAGGATGAAATGTTGGGTAGGATTGCAGGCCATGCACAGTGCTTGACGCATCTAGACATGCGAAAATGCAGTGAGATTACAGACGTCTCGATGGAGGTATTACAGTCTTCCCAAAAGGATATCAGTCATGCTAAAGTTCTTGTGTAGCAACTTTGCTCGACTCGCTCCCAGCTGGTACATCTTGGCCTTGCCCGGTGTGACTCGCTAGGAGACTCTTCGGTGCGGTCGATATGCAACCACTGCAAGTGAGTGAAGGTATGGTTCAAACTCCAGCTAAAAGCATGTGCCAGGACTCTACAATCGCTCGACCTGAGCTGGCTGAACGAAGTCACTGCTGCGGGGATAGAGGAAGTTGTGTGCAAGCTATCGTGCTTAACATCCTTGAAGCTGGAAGGATGCAAACCTCTTTGCGACAGTCACTTGGAGGTTCTGATTTCAATCTAGTCATCACTTGACTGACGTGTTCACTTTTTTTAAGATGGCGTCCAGAAACCTCAAAGTCCTGCGGGAGTTTCACATGGGGTGGTGCAACTCACCAACGGACGACATGATTGATGAGCTGGTGACCAAGCTTCCAAGCGTGATAGTGTGGGATTACTACGGAAGAGAGCACGTGGGAGACCTTGCTAAGAAGAGAACAAAGCCATGAAACGAAAAGATTTTACCCCACCGGAAACTGTTTATGGCATACCAGGAAAGCCGAAACCTGTTCTCTCGCTGCCCTTATGCCATCTCAAACGTGGCCATCACGTCTGAGATTCCTCCCAGATTCAAAACGTTCTTGTAGCCATTTTCTTCAAGAATTCGCTTGGCCACTGCGGACCTCGCCCCCGACCTGCAGTGTACTACGATTGCCTTCTGGAAGTCGTTCTGGGTAAGCTTGTGTACCTGCGCATCAGCGTTAGATCACGACAAGGAGGAGAAGGATATTCCATAGGCATACTTCGTTGATACGTGCTCCCAGCACTTCGTGGGGAATGTTCACTGCGATTTTGGCATGGCCAGTATAGAATTCATCAATCCTCCTCACGTCAAGAAGGATGCCTCCCCCATCGATCGCTTTTTTCGCTTCCTCCTGCGAGAAATCTTTGCTGGCTCCGTCTTTCTGGCCTCCCAACCAGGAGAAAAACGAGCGACCAGCGGATGGGAGCGCAGGAGCAGACGGCAGGGCATGAAGGGGGTTCTTCGTAACGGCAAAGGAGGGGGAGAGGGCAGCGAACCCGGGTGAGAGGTTCAAGTTCGACCTCCAGCTAGCAAGGGAGTATGTCCTTGACTGCAAGCTGCTGAGCATGAAGGATCTAAGACCTCGAATGCTCATCGCGCTCATCGCACGACCCGTCGCTCCTACTGCCATAGTTGCCTGCCTCTGCATTGCAAGCTACGATCAGGAGGCATAGGTGGGGTGGGGGTTGACGTGATCTGTACCCCCTCCTACCACTCCCAATGCAAGCGGTGAATATCGTGTCAAGAGGGGGTAGGGTACTCTCATGGGGCGCTTTTGACCAGGAGGGGTACATACCCCTACCATGGCAAACATGGGGTACTTGTAGCAGAAAGGTGGGGATGTGCACTTCACTCATGTATTGTAAGGGCCCGCCCCGGTACTGAAGGTGTACAGAAATGCAGACAAGAGTACCTACTGCGCTGCAAGACTTCAACATGCCAGGGGATGGAGCTTGCCGAACAGACTTTGAGGTGAGTAGAGTAGAGCAGAGATGGGAGGAGGGGGAGGAGAGGAGAGAAGGGGGAGGAGAGAAGAGAAGGGGGGAGAGGAGGAGAGGGGAGGGGAGAGGAGAGGAGGGGAGAGGAGAGGAGAGGAGAGGAGAGGAGGGGAGGGGAGGGGAGGGGAGAGGAGAGGAGAGGAGAGGAGAGGAGAGGAGGGGAGAGGAGGGGAGAGGAGAGAACTAGTGTCTCTAAGAATATCTGTTTTAAAAAGAAGCGACTAACCTACAACGATTTTCTTCCCATGTTTCAGTGAGTTCTCTGACACATGCTGTGTCTCCCAATTGTGATTCCAATCATATGCTTGCTGAGCCCGGACGTGCCTTCCCATGCCGGCGTTAAAACCTGGCGCTGCAGGGACGATGTGGTCGGCAAACAGATGCGTTGCAACTTGATTCGTGATCCCCTCCCTCTTGTCTTTGTCCTCGCGCACATGGATGATTCCATCAGGATACCTGAAACAACTGTCAAGAGAGAAGATCGTGGGTGCAGGGAGGGGCTAAGGTGTGAAGGGCAATGGAGGTACCGAGCAGAGAAAACAAAGCAAGGAGAGGAAGGCAAGAGGGAGGGGGGCGGCGGGGGGAAGCGAGGAGAAGGGGAGGGGGGGGGATGCCATACCTTGCATTCTGATATTTGTTGCGCGGCATGAGATGACCGTGAGGGTCGTCATGGTGAGCACGAATATCCCCCTTTTTGTTCAGAGAGACTTCCGAACTGAAGCTTCCCTCCCATGGGAAAAGCCAGTCGAAGAGTCCACCCCCGCCATTGAGAGCGCTGCTGATGCCTTGTGTAGCATTCATCTGGTGGAGCAAGGCGTCACGAAGAGGCTTGCAGTGATGCGAAGGGTTACCGGAGGAGGAGGAGGAGGAGCTGCGATATACCTCCATTCACAGCCTAAGCCGTCGCAGACCCTGATCCGCTTCGCAGCCTGGCTCTCTTTCGGCTTCGGGGTATCCTGGTCTTGGCCTTCTGATTTCTCGTCCTTCTCATCCTTGCTATCTTTTTCCTTAGCCTCATTCTTCTCCTGCTGAGCATTATCTTCTTGATTAGTTTCCTCCTTCTCATCTTTCGCTTCTTGATTGGTCTCCTCCTCATGTTTCTCTTCCTCTTCTTTCGTCACGTCCTTTGCATCATCCTTGTCTCCATTGCCCTCTTCCTTCTCCGTAGCCTCGGACTCCTCACTTTGCTTCTCCTCCTTGCCCGCCTGCTCTTCATCCTCTTCCTTGGGCTGTTCTGCTTCGTTGTTCGCATCGCCGCTCTCCGAACTCTCCCCTGAGTTGTTTTCCTCAGGAGTTTGCTGCTGATAATCAAGTCAAATGGATCCATATCAAGTTTACACTGGGTCAGACCTCACTGCCTTCATTCTGACTTGTCGGGCTGCTCCCTTGGTCACCTTCTTGGCTCCCTTCCTGCACGCAAAGTAGGCCAGTGAGCGAAAACTGACACAACGTGCATGGTTAGGGAACCTGAGACGAGCTACCATCTGCTTCGTTCTGCAACACCTTCAAAGCATCGTGAGCCTACTCATTACGTGCCGATATGGGAAGGACGATACCTGCTGTCTCAGGCGTTTCACCTGCCTCTTAAGTTTTGCGACCATCGCCTTCTCTTTCAACTTGCGGATTTGTCTCCTCAACTTTGCAACTTCCCGCAATTCGGCCCTGTGCGCAGAAGAGTCTGCTTTGACAAGAGAGACCTGCGCTTGTTGGGCAGTTTTGAGTTGATCCTTATGAAGAGCATTGTCCTTCTCAACTTTTTGAGCCATTTCCCTGATTTTCTCAATCTCCTGATTGAGGTGCTTTTTGACAACTTTTCTCGAGTTGCGATGCCTGTTGTGAGTCTGGGTTGGACTGGAATCTCCAAAAATCGAATTGATCTCGTTCTTAAGATGTCGCTCCGTCGATCGAAACAAATCCGATCGCACCGAGTCACCGTCCCGCGACGGCATTTCAAGTGCATTCAAAGGCGATGCAGCATCAGGCATTTTCACGGAGTACTGTGGAGCTGCAAAGTCCGGTGCTGAGGTCTGCACCTGATTCTGATTCTGCGATCTGATAGAACCAGCAGCTCTGCTCACCTTTCACAAAAGAGTCAACCCCGCCGGATTCAGCCACACATCACATCGCTACCTGATACAAGTCTGAAGTCTTGGAAGCCAGTCGAAGGTTGCTTCGAGGCTGTTGGCGATAGAGAGCATGATCGACAGCATTCTGAACAAGTTGCTTGAGAGTAACACCCTTCGGGACCTTCAACCGCGGTGCCTTCGCTTCTCTCTCAACAGCGTCCAATCGATTCTTCTTCTCCTCAGCGATCTCCTGCGGGGAAAGATCTCTTGAGGGCTGCAGATGCAAAAGACATTCAGATGAAAATAATGATAGATTCAAGCCAATGCAAAGCACCTCTCTTGATCGCACATAGTCAGAGTCTTCAAGGTCTTTCCTGGCTTGCTTGATAAACGCTGGAAGGGATGAAACTGCTGTGCTTGTTCCGCCAGTCTCATCAACTTCGTGCCTGTATTCCCTTGGGACTGCGAGCAAGTGACCCTGGATTCCACGTTCGCGCCAGATTTTGCGCTCTGCGGCAAAAGGATCCACGCTATCATCTGAATTGGACGCCTTCAGGTTGCTGACTCTAGACGTCTCGTGCCAGTCGTGGCTCCTAACGTCCTTAGTTCTCGCAACAAGGGGGTTATTTGATGACGCTTTGGGGATCTTCTTTGCCTCCGAATCGATCTGTTCACCCTGAAACGCCTTCTTCTCACTGGCATCTACCTTTGCCGCCATCTTTTGATATTCATCAATTCCAGAATCGAAGATATCGCTGTAAGACTTGAGGAGATTGTTAGCTCCTTGGTCAGCTGCTGATTCAAGCTTCGAGTCACGGTGAGACAGTCTTTGAACCATGTCCTTTGCAGCCCTGATCTCATTCACAAAACTCCGGTGCTGCTTGATGTGGGTCGGAGAAAAGGAATCTCCAGAAGGTGGCTGCGAGGGCGGCGTTGCCTTAGCATGATTCTTTCGGTCATTGTCCGGTGGGTTGGAAGTTTGAACTGCTGCCTGAGATTTTTCACGAAACATTCCTTTGTGAGTCGGAATGTTGTATCTCTCGTCTCCGTCCACCCAGCTAGCGTCCATACGCTGTGAAGAACATATGTTCAGTTGCAATCTTGTTTCAGACAAACACAGAGCAATGGTTATGCACAAACGATGAAGAAGCGGAAAACAACACATTCGTATGATGGTTTTCAATACAACATGTCACGAAGAAGCTGAGTGGACAATCGCAAACCAGCTACATCTTACAACACTTCCCATAGTTGTCCACGTACCTCTTCCTGAGCAGTCAGCGCACCCACATGGAGAAGCTCAGCCCTCAATGGCGATCCTCCAGCATTCATCCATGATAGGCGGTACGAGGCCATAACGATCACCATCGCTGCCATCCCACTTGCGACGGCTCCGGTCGCCCATCCCCGCAGTCGCCCCCGCGCCATGGTGCGAAGAGCCAGGATGCTGTAACGGTTTGTAACTATATGATAACTGTTTTCATACAAATGTAACGGTGATATGCTCGCAGAGGGGTAGGGGTATTATGAATACGGGTATTTTGTCTGGGAAAAACGGGGGTAAGAAAGCCTAATTGGGGGTCGAATACAAATCACTGTACGGGTGTGAGGGTGTGGGTGGTACGGGGTGCGAGGGGGTGGTAGCACGTGCACAATGGGGGTTCTTGGCGGCATCAACAGGAAGCACATTTCGCACAACAGGAAGAAGAACTCGAAGAACAAGGTAAGAACACTTGAAACATCCAATATCAACATCAACAATATCGACATTCAATATCAATATCGACATCCAATATCAATATCGACATCCGATATCCAACATCGACATCCAATATCAACATCGACATCCGATATCCAACATCGACATCCAATATCAATATCGACATCCAATATCAACATCAACATCCAACATCCAACATCAAACATCAAATATCAACGTGAAACATCAAGCATCCAAAATATCAATATTCAATATCCAATATCCAATATCAACGTGAAACATCAAACGTGAAACATCCAACATCATTCATCATTCATCCAACATCCAACCTCAACGTCAAACATCCAACATCCAACATCCAACATCCATATCTACTCTACGTTCACCTCCACCTCTATATGTTCTCCACCTATGCACCTTATCTGCGCACAAGTCCAAATGTGTCTCCACACATACTTCTACTTCCACTCGGATAGAAACATAGAGCGAGAGCGACAGGGGAGCTAGACTCTAGAAGAGAGGTAGCTCGAAAGGCAATGAGAGGAAAAGCCACAAAACAAAACGAGAGATGAGATAGGAAGGTAAAAGCCGTCACAGAGAGCCCTGAATGTACTCAGAACAAAGCCAAAAAAGGGATTTGTGACAGCTCCACATATGAAGGATATCGGTGTTCCTGATAATTTGTGAAAGCTAAAGAATCCTTTGCAGTTGAACAAGAAGAACAGAGTCGAGAAACAAACAAAGGCAGTGCAGCTTTCTTCGAAAACAATGTATTCGTGCTTTTGGTCTGTTTGTGCCGTAATTGAATACCGCAAAACAGATCTAAGAAGAAGCAACGTATCATTGACAAGAGGAAGAAAATTCTGATTCCCGATGCGATGGTCAGGAATGAAGAAAAGTACAAGAAGTTTAAGGTCAGGGTTTGCCCTGCATGAATTAGACTTGATTTTTGACTTCAGATGGACGTTGAAGACTCTGAACAAACCGCTGAGAACGCTCAAGATTGAAGCAATTTCACCATTTCGCTTGTAATGTTTCCATTTAGTCAGTTTAACTTATTTGTATCATGAGAGGGCTTACATGCTGTTCATTTCATTGTGTTATCAAAATTCAGTTGTTAAGTTGTGGAGCCTTACCATTTTGGATCATTTCTAAGCTTCCAATCAGCGTGTGCTTGATGTCATCAATTTGTGCCTCAAATGTCAAATGTTGTTTTAACTGCCTCTCAACCTGCATACTTGTCCAATCTCCAAAATTTCAGATAACTATTCAAAAATGTTGTCTATGGACTATTGGATCGTCATACTTTCAATGGAAAATGAAGAAATAGGCATGGCTGGTGTCTCAGGCAACTTGGTGAAAAAATGAACAGATTTACAAGAAATTTCACAGGCTGTCCTATTCATCATTGTTGTCGCACATCTCGTCCGATTCTAACCCCCGGAAGCCAATTCTGAATTCGCAGATACCTGCATCGAATATCAGCGATGCTCGATTTCTCCCGATAGTGAAGACCTGGAGGTGCCCACGGAGACCACAAAAGTTTTGCCTGAGAGGAGGGTCTGAATCATTCAATTGCAGAAAGAAAGTTAAAGAATACCCTTCTGCTGCCTGACCTAATTGATCCTGCGGAATATTTATCTGCTTTCAGTGCCTGAAATGAAGGGGCTATGTCTGGATTGCCCTCCTCCTCGACTTCATCAATCAGATAATCATCATTCATCGTAGGCCTTAGCAAAATCAATCTGGCGTTGACACCTTGTGACCATGTCAATCCCAGAGCGGCTTGCTTCGTTTGTTTGCGCTTTGTATATGAGCTGTCCTCATTCGGGGAGAAGGAATCTGTTACTTGATTCGCAGTTACAACTGCACAATTGAATCTGGAGTAGCAGGGAATGTCAATCAATCGTGGATAAAATGGAGAATCTGCATACCGAGATGATAGATGCTTCAACAATCGTGACGTCTTGATCAAAAACTCTGATCTCGAGGCGCTCTCCTGGCAACCCTGATACGCCTCATCCCCCCGCAGAGGGGCTGCGATGGAATCAATGACAACGAGTCCTGGCGAGTGCTGCTCTAGCAATCGAGGGAGCCTGCTTTCAATGACATGCTCCAGTTCTGCTGGCGTATGCGCCTTCTCAATGAATATGTTTTCGCAAGGATGTGCCCCATTCCACTGGGAGAACAACTCATCTTTGTAGAATGCTGCAATTTGTTGTAACCGCTTCATGGGCGGCTCCCCTTCTGTGCAAACATAGACAGCCTTTCTACCGAGACCTCCTTGCCCCTGTGGAAACTGGCAGCGAACCATCAAGTGTAGCAGGAGCTGCGTCTTTCCCGCTCCAGCTTCCCCACAGACTTCTGTCACACTGCAAAGACATGTCAGAGTCGGCGAGCAGTGCCTCTGCTTCAAAACCTTCTACACAAGAAGCCCCCTCGTAGGAGGCGATCAATGGAAGGGACGCCTGCGGACATTGAGGAGAAATAAGCATGAAACTTTCGCATACCAGTCCTCAGGATCGTCTGGCCTTGCTTCAGAAGGGATAAGCCTGTAGTTGGTTGTGGGACAATATCTTTCTCTGCTGTCATGTTCTGCAGTAAATCCATCGATTCTTGGAAGACCCCCAAACCAGCATATAAGACTTTCGACCTCAGTTCTGGAACCAGTATGTCAATTCAAGCTGTTACCAACTTTCCAACCGGCATCGATGCAAACCGTTTGACTTTTGATTTCATTCAGAATCATTCACATATAATGACTAGTTTTGTCTTGCACTGTCCTTCTTAGGCTCCTGATTCTACTCCTCTGACACTCATCTATGACATAGATAACAGACCATCGTTCTGAATCTTTTCGTGATGATTCCGTACACCCTAGACCAGGTGAGCTTCTCCTGCTTCCACAATCTTAATTTTTCTTCCCCGTGACCCTCTCCCTTCCAACCCTGCTCTTTATCCCTCTCCTGTCTCCTCCTGCTGCCCCCCCCCCCCCCACCACCACCACCACCACCACCAACACACACACTTTCTGTCGCCTTCGCCTCTACCTACTCCCCCATTCTGCCATCGAACTGCCCGCCCTCTCGCCACTTGCGACAAGAGTCTGATGGGAAATCGATTAAAATCAAAAATCAGAGTTGAAAATCGAATCGGTGTGGTTGAAACCAATTGAGGCGAGCTTGCTATTGTATTTGATTAAAATTGAGGATTGGGCACGAGCTACCCCTCTCAGTCCAAAGGGTAGAGGTGCAAGGACGGGTGGTAGGTGAAAAAGAGGTGGTCGGGGTGTAGTGATCTGAGATGTTGGTACATTTCTAGGGTATTCTTGTCAGTTAAATAGGGGGTAGTAAATGCATTGCTACTACAAGGGTGGTACGAACTGGTGGGGTGGAGGTGGTTGGAGCATACCACACATCAAAGAGGGTGGGTGGTCGGCCTTTCAAGGCGCCATGCGGGGCAAGTTTGTGGCGGTGCTGCTTGTCGGGATGGTGATGAGCGAGCCGAGGAGGGTAATACTGAGGAGGTATGAGGAGAGCCTTCAGATCTCAGGCTCGGCGTTAAGTCTCGTAGGAGGAGTCGAAACTCTGCTGTTGGACGAAGGGGAGAAGTTTGATGTGGAATACGTGAATCAACTCCACGAGAACACTATTGTGCATGCTCATGGCTTGAATCCAGCTTCATACAAGACAGGTCAGGACGGCTTTCCACTTGTAGAGGACTGGCTGATACCAGCTGATCGTGCAAAGCATGTAGTTTTCGACATCAATCAAACTGGTACCTTTTTCATGCATTCGCACTACGGAATGCAGCACGCCAAAGGCCTTGCCCTCCCGATCATCATCAGGGAAAGGAATTTCCCCTCCTCGTTGGGTATTGTACATGGCCATTTGAATGATGCTGAGGATTTCATCTTAATGTTGGAGGACTGGTGTCCTTACACGATGATGAGAACGTCGGACGAAAAGTGCTCTCTGAATTCGCCAGATTCCGCACTCGCACAAATGAAGCTTATGTGGACAAGCGTTCCGAAGCTCATTCAAGCTTCTTTTCAGACATGTGAGGCTCCAGTTGATGAGTCGCATGTGAAGTACGAGAGACACACGATCAACAGGAAGCAGGAGTTCCAAACAGAAATGTCAACTGCCGAGACCTATGCAAGGTTGCGTCTGATAAATGGAGGATCAATGACCAATTATCGAATTCATTGTCCAAAAGGGTCGAAGATCGTTCAAGTGGATGGAAACTGGGTTGTTCCATACAGTTGCGACAAGCTCTGGATCTCCGTAGGTCAAAGATATGACTTGCTAGTCCAAAAGTCCACAGAAATTACCCTCCTTGCTATTGCAGAATCCTTCAATCGCGTTCCAAACATGAACGACGTAGCTATATTTCGAGCTCTCTTTGCAAATTCGACGTCTCCTCGCACGTCTCTTCCACTTGCTCTGAATGCGACTGGTCGTGCTGACGATGAACTCGACTTCCGTCTTCGCCGCGTGCAGGAAGCTCCCATGGACTACTCGGGCGCAGAGAACATTTCCATTCGGCTAAGTGGGAAGCATGGCTACATGTCAATCAATGGCTCCAGCCTCATACCTCCAGGACCTTCCGATCCAGATTTTACGTGCGTTGGAGAACCGCGAATCTTCAGGCTTCAAAGGGGAAAGAAGTATTGTTTCACACTTGTCAACTCGAATGGTGATTCGCATTCCTTTCACATGCATGGACATGACTTTGTGACACTTGAGACAAGTGACGGTGAGATTCCTTACATGCACGGCCTAAATTCCCCAGTTTTTCGTGACACGGTGCTTGTTCCTGGGGGAAATTGTGCTCGGAGAAAGATCTGCTTTGAAGCAAGCAATCCTGGAGGTGGAGTTTGGCCATTTCATTGTCACATGTCCTTTCATTTGTCAGCTGGAATGCTGCTTTTGCTGGCGTATGAAGACAGTGTAAAAAGTGACACGAACCTCATCGATGTGTGTAATCACAAATCGATTCAGTTTTGGAACAAAGCGAAGCCATATTTTGCCGGTGGGTTACTTGCCATGATTTTCTTGTTCAGTGTCTACCTTGCATTCCAAAGGAAAGGTGAGAGGGAAACCTTGTATGTAGGATTGAACGAGGGTGGCAGAATAGCAAAAGGTCAGTTTCGTCTGTACTACTTTCCCCTCCTCAACGTTTATTGTTCTGTGCGTTTGCAGGAAGGAAGAATTCAAGGCATCGAAAACCGAACAAGCCTCACGGTATATACAGCTTCAAGATGTCTCTTGCCCTTCGTTGACTTGATGCCGAGCAGAAGTTTTCACTGGTCAGAAGAGCAACCAGTCACAGAAGTCAAGGGAGGAGCGAGATGAACTGATAACAGGCCATCTGCCTGGGTTGCGCTCAATGGTTTGATTGAGCATTGTTTTTCGAGACAAATTTTGTTGCCGATCATTTCAGCAAGTGATGCGAAGTGGTCTCTCGATTTCTAGCTTCTTTGCAACTGTATATAATTCTTTTGGCTGCTCACTGTCAGCGAGCTACAGGATCGGATGCCAGGCTCGAGTAGCAGCCAGTTGATGTTGGATAGTAATCACAGTGATTGTCAGTGAACAATGAGTGCAATGTGGTTTGATGTTGAACGAGTACTGGGATTTTTGTTGTAAAAAGGAACGGTGCTCATTACACGGACAGAGCCCCTTCGACCCGCACGTTTCCTTTACTCCTACATCGTTATCCTACACTACTGTACTCCGTCATCCCTCGTCTTGCCCATGCAGTGCACCCTCCCCCCCCTCCCCTCCCCAGGTGCTCCTCACGACAGCCCCGCGTCCCCGCTGGCCGACATGTACCACGCGATCCACTCCGGCTCTAGCCCCGACCCCTCCTCCTCTCCCTCTCCGCCTTCTCCGCCCGCGACCCGCTCCGTCCTCGGCTTGTGCTGGGTGCGCCGGCGCCAGCTCCGGGACGCCTTGCGCTCGTACGGCCAGCGGGCGATGCCCAGGCGTCGGCGGGCGGTCTTGAACGCCGTCAGAGATAGCCCCTGCAGACAAGTAAGCGAGCTGCCGCCTCGCTCGGGACACACAGGAGGGGAGGGGGGAATACCAGGGAGGCGGCGGCCTGGGTCTGAGGGAGGTGGAAGAGGGCTTGAACGACGGAGGGCTTGAGGTTGACGCCTCGGCTGCCCTTGTAGACGATGAGGGCTCCGTTGAGAGCTTTTCTTCGCGGGTAGACGCAGACGTGGGAGGTCATGGCAGGAGGAGGAGGAGGAGGAGGGTAGGGAAGTTGCTGTGTTGTTGACCGAGGAAGCCACTACCGAACTTGTACCGACTTTTCCCCAAGATCTATCAACCCACCCCCTCGAACGCCTAAAAAGGAAGGGTTCGAAGAAATACGTCCCTGCGCGGTCAGAACTGTCGTGACTCGCGAAAAGAGTGACTGGAACGACCCGAGTTGCGTTGGACGCGGTGACGTTTAAATCCCCTGAATGGTCTCGAGCTAGTGGCCCAGACACTTCACGCCTACAATAAAAGAGGCATGGCAGGCGGTACTGGCTTCATGGTTGACCGAAGATATATTTCCTCTGTGGCACCGGCGGGGTCATCAAAACATCACCGCGAGCATCTCTGTCCCTTTCCGTGCGGACAACGAGTAGGACCCCCACCTCACCCCCTCAGGCTCTCGAACGGAAAAAAAAGTTTATCAAGAAGTTACTCCAAACCATGTCACCCCAGTCGCATATCCTGATGACCCCCAGCTCCCTGTCTCCGCGTTGATGAGGGGTTGTTTGATCCATGGGAAGAGAGATACCCCCGAGAGAAGAAGAAGATTCCTCGGTCAACAAACAACAGCAAATCCTCTGCTCTCCTCCTCATCCTCCCGGGTGGGGATGGGGTGGGTTATTGATTGAGGAAGTAGGTGGGGTAGTGGGAGCTTCCTCATCGGTCAACAACCAAGCAACTTCCGTACTGCCCTCCTCCTCCTCCTCCTCCTGCCATGACCTCCCACGTCCGCGTCTACCCGCGAAGAAAAGCTCTCAACGGAGCCCTCATCGTCTACAAGGGCAGCCTCTTCCACCTCCCTCAGACCCAGGCCGCCGCCTCCCTGGTATTCCCCCCTCCCCTCCTGTGTGTCCCGAGCGAGGCGGCAGCTCGCTTACTTGTCTGCAGGGGCTGTCTCTGACGGCGTTCAAGACCGCCCGCCGACGCCTGGGCATCGCCCGCTGGCCGTACGAGCGCAAGGCGTCCCGGAGCCGGCGCCGGCGCACCCAGCACAAGCCGAGGGCGGAGCGGGTCGCGGCCGGACAAGGCGGAGAGGGAGAGGAGGAGGGGTCGGGGCTAGAGCCGGAGTGGATCGCGTGGTACATGTCGGCCAGTGGGGACGCGGGGCTGTCGTGAGGAGCACCTGGGGGGGGGGGCACTGCACAGAAGTGTAGGATAACGAGGTTGGCGTCTGTACAAAACCTGAATGCAAGAACAGGGTGGTTCGAAACAAGGCATGATTTGTTCGTATAACCTCTCGAAGAAATTGTTCGTGGTGTATCACTGATGCCAACCCAACTTCAACCACGGCGCGCGTTCGAGGTGTTGACACATATGGAAATAAAAGTCATCCCACAGACCCTTCCAACACTGAGTTTATCTTCCATCCAGCCCTTACACTGATCGCACCAACGGACGGACCAGCGGTGGTTCTGGCGGCACAGTATGTCGCGCTTCCTTTACGAATACTGTGTGATCCTGTTTCATCATTTCAGACTGAGTCACGGTTCTCCATTCACCTTTCACCTCTGAAGTATGATCCGCTACATAGATCAACCAATAAATCTCTGCATCTTCAGTAATCACATACTTCTCCGTGAGGCAACACAGATACTGACCTAAAGCCAAGAACGGGCATATTTCCGGTTTGGTAGGATTGCAATACACATGTCTTGGATCTCCAGCGCGATGACCTGACTGATCGTTCTTCTAATGAATGATGTAAAATCTCAGAGAGTCTTCAGAAAAGTCCATATGGTTGTACATCAAAGAAGCTGTGTTACTGGAGCGACTCATTAGATTCCAGCCAAGAATCATGAACGTTCGACCCCAAATGAACTCTCGGTCTAGCTTGGTCAACATGACCCTGCCCAATATCTGGTAGATACAAAAAGGCAGAGGTCCTTTCCTTGGTCAACTTTGCACTCCTGCCCCTAGCATTCTGCTTGTTGCATTTTCGTTTCAACCCGACATAATGTCCAGTCAAAGCAAGCTGGAATTGGGATAAACGTTCCACTGGCATGTCATAGCAATGTAAAATGTACATAAGTGCGGATCTGCAAGAACTGCATGTTTGAAAAGAAAGATCAGGTTTGACTCTCAGGCAGTGTGCTATCCAGAGCATGAAATGCCGCTTCTGAGCCAAGATATCTCTCAAATATTCTTGAGTAGGTAGTCCGTCTGTAATCTTGGTAATAACGTGGTCGGGCTATGTCCGCCTTCATGTCTGCAGTTATCAGGCCCATTTCATCGTCATTTGCAAATAAAAATTGAATGAATCGAACCATGTGACCTCGACACATGACACGGCTGCTTTCAGCGAGAGTGTTATTCAAAACAGCTGCTATATCGCGTTCCAGTTCTTCGGTATCTTCCATTCTTAACAGTTCAGCTGTAGCACTTGCCGTCTGCCGACGCCGTATAGTATGGGTAGGTTGTGATCTTGGTCGCCGGTAATCGCGTTTGATCCCATTGGAATCAGTTGCGAGCAAGAGGGCTCTTGCTCGCATGTATTGGGTTTATCTGGACTCCCGCAATATTACATGAAAATAGCGTCGTCATTTCCCGCATTGTCCGTACAGGGCGTGTAGAGATATGTTCTTGGTTGATTTTACATTGTAATATTTGCTGAAACAAGCATGATGGGGCTTGAGGTCCCTGACTCCGTGTCGGTTTACTCAAAGTAAGTAACTCACTTACCCTCTCCGGATCACCCTACCCTGCACCCTACCGGACGCAGAAAGGTCTCGGGTTGATGACTCCACCTGGCACCTATAAGGCCTTTAAGGGCTGATGTCCGAGATTACCTGGAGTCGCAGATGCCCCTCTGCCCTTCCGAGCGGACAACACAGAGTCGGTACCCCACCCTACTCCCTTTGCCTGTTTTTTCTGACCCCGTGGCCCAGTCGCATCTGCTCAGTACCGGTCATTGTGGAGTTCCACCAAGGGACGGGTGGCTGGAGGCCTCGGTGGGACGGTAGGTGGGGTAGTGGGGGCTTTCTCGGTCCTCCTCCTGCCATGACCTCCCACGTCCGCGTCTACCCGCGAAGAAAAGCTCTCAATGGAGCCCTCCTCGTCTACAAGGGCAGCCGAGGCGTCAACCTCAAGCCCTCCGTCGTCCAAGCCCTCTTCCACCTCCCTCAGACCCAGGCCGCCGCCTCCCTGGTATTCCCCCCTCCCCTCCTGTGTGTCCCGAGCGAGGCGGCAGCTCGCTTACTTGCCTGCAGGGGCTGTCTCTGACGGCGTTCAAGACCGCCCGCCGACGCCTGGGCATCGCCCGCTGGCCGTACGAGCGCAAGGCGTCCCGGAGCCGGCGCCGGCGCACCCAGCACAAGCCGAGGGCGGAGCGGGTCGCGGCTGGACAAGGCGGAGAGGGAGAGGAGGAGGGGTCGGGGCTAGAGCCGGAGTGGATCGCGTGGTACATGTCGGCCAGTGGGGACGCGGGGCTGAGTACATAGACACTTTCATGTGCCAGTCACGGCAGAGTTAATGTAGATAAGATATGATCAGTTCCAGCGAAGCAATTCCAACAAAGAGATCGAGTAGATATCTCAAAGTGCTTTAGATAGCACGCATGGGAGCTTAAGAATGACCAAGTGGAAAGCTTAGAAGTGAGATTAAACTTTATGTTCACAAGAAGACGAAGACAGCGCATGCTGCTTTCCCCCAAAAAGGATTTCGTCGGTTGACCCAGTTAAACTGCTCTTCCGAGTTCGCACCTCGGACTTGGGACACAGACTGAGACTGAGAGAGGAGCGAAAGAGGGAGAGGAGGGAGAGGGAGAGGAGGAAGAGGAAATCTCCGAGGGAGAGGAAATCTCTGGGAGAGGAAATCTCCAGGCTCAGAGAATAGGAGGGGGAGAGAGAGGTACTCGGAAAGAGAGTCAGTCACCAAGGAGAGTAGGAGGGAGAGAGAGAGGTACTCGGAAAGAGTCAGTCACCTTGGAGAGTAGGAGGGAGAGAGAGAGGTACTCGGAAAGAGTCAGACACCTTGGAGAGTAGGAGGGAGAGAGAGAGGTACTCGGAAAGAGTCAGACACCTTGGAGAGTAGGAGGGAGAGAGAGAGGTACTCGGAAAGAGTCAGACACCTTGGAGAGTAGGAGGGAGAGAGAGAGGTACTCGGAAAGAGTCCGATCAGTCACCTTGGAGAGTAGGAGGGAGAGAGAGAGGTACTCGGAAAGAGAGTCAGTCACCTTCAACTGCGCGGTCCGATCCTCAGCAGCCTGTTCTCAGTTCGTCATCCCCGATGTTAAGTTAATATATCAGTCAAACGAGGGGACAGCAAAAGTCAATAAGTAGAGTATGTAGGTTGGTACTTTGATGAGTAAAAATGATTGTACTGAAGATCATGGGGCCGGCACGTCCGCATGCATGGAGGCGGTGTGAAGGAGAAGAGGAGGAGCAGGAGGAGCAGGAGGAGCAGGAGGAGCAGGAGGAGCAGGAGGAGCAGGAGGAGCACGAGAAGAAGGAGGAGCAGGAGGAGCAGTAGGTTATGAGAAGTTTGAAGGTAGGAAAGCGGGATAGGAAGGTGAATGGGGAAGAAGGAAGGGCTAAATGGGATCAGTAGAGGAGGGGACAATGATAGGAAGGAAGATGCATGGTGATTCAAGAAAAGGGAAGAGTAGGAGAACACGACAAGAAGCACGAAAGGACTGGACGAGGTTATGCATTTACGTCGCAGAGTGAGTGGGGACGGATGCGGATATGAAACGGAGCGGAAGGAATCAGATTCTCAGCGCAAAGATCATCGTAGACATTCCCTTAGAGCTGGGCCGACACGTGCTCTTGTCTAAGACGACATGTTCGCAGGGGTGATGATACTAGCGTGATTTGAAGAAGAAGCTTGCTATTGTCATTTTCAGCCCGTCGCTCTCAGGCTGGGCCTGCAAATGGGATCAGGCGCCTGAGTCGAGGCTCCTGACTGTTGAGAGCCAACCCTGAGGCCACTGATCTGACAACACCAAGGCGATGACAAGGCTGTCGAGAGCGCTTGCTCTGTGCATGATGGCGCAGTTCATGTCTTTGTCTTGTGCGATGCCTCGAGCTCCGTTGAGGAAGGGTGGGGCTGGACGAGTGATGACGGCAGGGAGCGCGAGGAAGTACTGTTTTGAGCATCATCCTCTGTCTTCGCTGCCTGCCCGCCTCCGGGGTGGCTCGCCAAGATGGGAACCTCCTCCGTCGTACTCGCAGGTCCTGCACTCATCAAGGAAGGACTCAGCATGGAACGACCTGCTGGTGAGGTGGCTGGAGGGGTTGGGGTTGCGGTTGACAAGCTGGTTCAAAGACTGCACTTGGTGCCTTCACGCGGCTGGTTTTCCGAATCTGGTGGTTTGCTGTGCGCACGTGCATGAGGGGCCTTGTCAGGTGTTGTGAATGTTTGTGGAGGCTCGTGGATCAGACTGAAGTGAAGCCTTCAGTTTCATGTTTGCACTGCTGAGATTGTTGGGGTACATGCTCTCGAGGCGTAAGAAGGGATCACCTGGTAGCACGGGGAAGAGCGCGTTTCCTGACAAGCCGGAGTGGACGAACGCGAACGCGAATGAGGACTGGTATGAAACCGACCGGATGGCCAGGGGATCGTACCACACACCCAAGGTACTTCTGTCCTCTTCGAATCCTTGCTCCTCACAGTGTCTGACCTGCCAGGCAAACAAGTTCACAGGTTGGAACCCCTCATTCACTCCCGAGACCCGAAGGCCTGCGCTAGAGGCAAGCTCCAATTGACTTCGATCAGATGCGATCTGACGACTTGTAGACGCAGAGGAGAGAGGAGGAGGAGGAGGATGATCAAGGGCAGGCCTCGATGGAGGAATCCGAAGCCCCGCAAGTGATGGACGAGAGGGAAGAACAGTCAGAAGGCTTGTTGAGAGATCGCAACCATCACTTGGACTTCTCGGGAAAGATGAGGCATCAGCCGGCAAGTTTGACAAGGATGGACTTGTCCAGCCTCGAGATGGCGCTGAAGGGTCGTGAGAGCTTCACTCCCAGTCAAACGTTCTGGAAGACAGCGCAGCGCGACCACTTGCCGCAGGCAGACAACGAAAGGTGGCTGCTGTCGAGAACTTGTGTGGAGCAAGTGACTTGTAAAAGCCCCAGAGGAAAACATCGGGAAGAACCGAACGAGGTCGAAGGCTGCAAGAAGCTCGGGAGCGGGTGACGACATTCTTCGGAACGAGGAGTTTGGTGGTGACAGCCAGGCAGGTTGTGGTCATTCAGGACGAAACCCAAGACAGCCAACAGCTCCAATAAGGCTCTTCTCTTCGGAATGAAGGCCAAACAGAAGCTCAGGATCACGGGGCTTCGAACCTCCTCCAACTTGGGTACTGCGTGAGACGTTGAGGAGGTCGTGGCTGACCAGCCCGCCGCTGCAGGAGCGCAGAACTCAGAGGAAAGAGAGTACCAGGTGAAGTCCCTCCCTCCAACTCTTCTCCTGCTGATGTCATGGTCCAGGTCTGGTTGACAAGCGACGGGTTGTCATCGCAGGTAGCATGTGCAGCAGGCAGTGCGACAGACTTGCTGAGGCCTCTGCAGACTCGGTGGAACGAGGTAGGACGAGGACACACGAGGCTGCCAAGGGAGGCAGGAGCGTACGGCGAGCTCCCGCTGGGGGAGGAGGGGGTGGAGCTGGAGGCAGGGCAGACTTGCCTGTTCTTCCTCTGCTGCCCTTCCAGTGCGGGAGGGATCGCGTTTAGGTGAGAGTGAGGGGAGAGCATGGGTGCACCGGAGGGTATGGGGCAGGGAAAGGATGTGAACAGAGGGTACAGCAGTGAGAAAGAGAGAGGGGGGAGGGGACGGGACGGGAACGGAGGATGACGGTGGTGGGAAGTGGAGGAGGATTGAGGGGGGGGGTGAAGGAGCATGCAGGAGGGACGTCTACTCGCTACAGTTTGGCGAAACCTCCGACAAATCGAAACATCTCGATCTCCTTGCAGGATGCGGTACCGCGAAGAAAACTCTCCTCGTCTGCTGCAGCC